AAAATCCACCAACATAAAGTAATTTCACTGTTACGTGGCCTTCTTAATATCTCCCCCCACTGAAGCAAACATCCGTCTCATCTCCCTTCTTTCTTTGTCTCCTTCTTCCTCGCCAACATCCAGGACTGTACGTTAAGCAAAGTTTCTTTAACAATTGTAAAACACAGACAAATGGGCCCGGATGCGCACCATCCATCACACCAGAGGAAGACTCATTGTTTGCAGATTTGAACCTAGTGAAGATCCTCCCGCTCCTCTCCTGTGAGACCCACAAATCATGAGCTGACAAGCAGAGCCGAGCGGGGCCGGGCAGACTGGGGAGATCGCAGGTTTCAAAGAGGGATTATTGTGTTCCGTCCGACCTGAGCTGGAAGAAGACTTCTCTTCAGGATCCTGCCGCCCGACACAACTTCGGCAGCTTGCTAATGGCAGCTTGTTTAATTAATAAAACGTTACTTAATTAACCAAATCCTTTTTATTTCCGTTCGTCTAGCGGCTAACAGATGTAGATACGGTGGAATGTCACTCGCTGCCAGAACTGTTGGACCATGTCAGGGAATTGAAAGGACAATAAAAACTTTCGGCAGCAGGAGCTTCAAACTTGGGTTTGATGGCTGTGCAGATGTCACTGAGTCAGCAGTAATGATGTAATCGGGATGCAAGTTTCCAGGGAGGAGATTCCTCCAGACCTATTGAGAACAGATCAAATAAACATTGTATGAAGCACCTGCTGCTGCTGCTTGGTCCAAGTTTCTTCATTCAATGACTTCTTTCACAATTAACGGTTAAAGTTACAAACATCAGCTGCTTTTGCATAAATGTTGACAGACATAGTTTTTTCACATTGGGTCGATTCATCACATCTCTTTGACAGCATGTTTTGCACCCAACTCCACATGGACATTCAGAAGAGGTAGAAATGCTTCTTCAGCTCCTTTGATCACCAGACTGGTGCAACAGGTCTTATGAGGCTTCCCTTCATTGCTGCAGACTCATGACTCTCCCAACTGTCAAGGACAAGGATCCAAATGCAACCGCAGGAGCCGGTATCCAAATGTATTTGTTCTCCCAAAAGACAGATCACGCTGTGAGTCCCGTGGCTCGTCATCGGAGGTTGGTGGAGTACAGGAACTCTACAGACGGCGAGAGGAAGAAAGTCAGTAACGCACAAGGTCAGGCAGTGGCACTCACAGACCGGCCTTGGTGACTACCAGGGAAGAAGACGAAACCGACTGACAACCCAAGCTTGCAGAACCAGGGTTGAAATACAGCCATTGAGAGTCCCCATCGGTCTCGGCTGTGTACTGCTCGGTGCGTGGCAATGGGCGGCGTCTGGAGGTGGGACCAACAACACACAGACAACAAGCACATGGCAAAACAAAACAAACTGGGATGACAGACACATGAGGGAAAACTGAGGCAAAAGACAGAATGGGTCAGACAAGGATACTGACACTAAAGTATTCACCTCATATCTCATCCTGTCCTCTGTCCCGGGGTCCTCTGCGTCCATCACCTGGTTTGTCGGCCCAGAGCTGTTGTAACATCACTAAAGACTTCCTTAAAGGGTGGAGTGGCCTGGTTAATATTCCCGGAGGGACGTCCTCTAAAGACGTGAATGAGCGAGAACGCTGCGATTAGCCAACATTAATCAACGGGGACTAACCACTGCTCCAGCAATGGCTTCCAGGAAACATAAGTCCACAATAATAAATGCAGCAATCTCTGATAATAATTCAAGGGACCAAGAAAAAAAAGGAAAAGAGAGATGAGAGTGTGAATGAGTGACTGGAAGCTGAGTCTGCTAACAGGAACAAATGAAGTGAACAAAGAAGATTTGTCCTGATGGGGGAGATATTAATCTGTTCAAAGCCAGACGGCGTGGAGTAACAATAGGAAACAAAACAGCCGTAAAATAAGAAGACGGTCAACTGTTTTTGCCAAAGACTTCATAAAGTCTGTAGTAAGTTTGTAAATATTTGCGTCCTCCTTGGACGGTCTCCAGGTGAAGAGACAGCGTCAGGCTCCTCCCACGTCCCGGGGTCTCAGCTTCAGAAGCTCGTTTGTGAATGTTAATGTGACGAGAGCCGATCGAGTCGCTGTAATTAGTGTTTGTTGAGACGAATGCAGGCTTATTAGCATGGCAGCGTTTAAAGAGACGGCAGGTCGACAGGCCGACTGATGAGTCCCCGATTCGCTGCTCGACACTTTTTCCTCTTTCCGTCTCGGTCTTCTTCCCCTTTTTTCCTCTGTCCTTTCTCACACTCGAGGATTAGAGACACTCTCGAAAGATAGAGGCTTTAAGAAAGATAGATTTGTTAAATTAAGATCACACACTCACACACACAAAATACATTATTATACTATCAAAGAAAATAGTTTTGGGTTTTTTTATTTAATTACGCTAAATACATCAAACGTCTTACTTTTGGCGAAACAAAAGATGTGTACACTTTCCGATCAAAACAAAATTTTAGATCTTCAAAATACTAATTAATGACCCATCTGCTGTGAGAACAATATTTGTTTGAACCCTGATGTTTTTTCCCATTTTTTAAAATTCTCACATCGGTATTGTAGGACTTCAAAGGACTTGAAATGAAGGAAAAAAAGATTAGATTATATTTATCCCGAGGGTGAATTGCTATGCATCCATTACTCCACTACTTGTGTTTTTTTTTCCTCTTCCAGCGTGTTCCTAACGTTCCTCTCCCCAGCATTCCTTTCCATCTCCAAGACCCCTCGATCCCTGCAGGGACGCCGACCTGGAGGAGCTCCAAAGGCAAGCGTCATTGTACAGATGCCACGTCATGTGACTCAGTTCCGTCATCTGCGGCATGCGTCCGGTCGGCTTCCGACGCGGCCTAAAGCTGCAGCTGTCTACTTAACGAATTCACTCCTATATCTGGTAGAATATGGTAACAGGGTTTGTTGTCACTTTAAAAAGGCACAGTGCAATATGAATAAACACACATTGAAAAGGTTCCTTTTAAAGATAATGCATCATGTGCAAAAGTGTCATGTGACATTGTGTCATGTGGCAAAGCGCCATGTGCCATAGGGTCACGTCACATACATTGGAAAGTACTAATACTCTCATGAGTTTGTGTTCCACATCTGGTGTGTCTCGCATGGATTTTATGTTTTCAAAATAAAAGTTTTCAATTTTGGAATTAAACACATTCATGAAGTCACTGCTTTAGACGGGAGTTCAATAAAAAAAAGTTTGGGGGATTTCTAAATGGTTTTATTCCCTTTGCAGTAAAATACATTAAAGTGCTCAAACCTTAATGTCAGCATTCACTTCACGCTTTGTCATCTCACCCATTATGTTCATAAATAACTTATCGGGATTAATAGAAACAGTGTGAGCTGAAAACACTCGCACTGTAACACATTAGCATACTAATTAAAATACCATCATATGCTCCCACTCACTAACATTCCCTCTTGGTCTTTCTTTGACCTCCGACCCCTCCGTGCTGCAACGATGACACTGATTTCATTAATCCTCACAATGTAATTAAGGAGCAGGCGGAGTGGCAGGTGCTGAATATCAATGGTTGAAGTGTGTTAAAGATGTGGGCGTCGGCTCCTCTGTCCTTCCACATGTTCTCACGCGTCCATCAATGGGGGAGGGGGGGTGTTAATATTAACGTCACCGCAGACTCTCCAAAGAACTCTCAGCAACCGGCAGCATGAATTATTCCCAGGTCACTCTTTCCATTCATGATAACGGATGAGCTGAAAGTGATTTTTTTTCAGTGGATTTAACATTCAGGGTTTCCTTAAGCGAGCCGTGACATCAACATATAAATATTGATGGAGGAAAAAAGGGAAGAATGCTTTTCTCCTTTGTGATTAAAACATAAACGGTCAAATATGGCTGAGAAGTTGGATCTCAGTTGGATCAAAGATGCTGTTCAAGTAAAACAATCCCTGTGACCTCCATGTTAAAATGCCCAATTCTACAGCAGAAATACTCACAACCTGATAGAAAACATGTTTATATGTGAAACCAAATCATCCATTAAAGAATATGTAATTATATTGAGGCTTAATATTTTCTAAGAATAGTGCACATGGGCTCCCATTGGAATAATATTTCATGCTGCAATATAAATGTATTTATTTTTTACATTATGTCAGAAAAAGAAAGGAAACAAAAGTACTTTTTGGAAAAAAAATGCTGGCTGAGCCCGATGCAGCAAAGCATTGTGGGACGCCTATTGTTTCAGGGTTGAAAGTGAGTGTTGGATTTCTATAGTTTCCATCCTGAGCTTTGAATAGTCAACAACCTCGTGAGTGAGACCTCTGATTACCCGTCAGCGCAGCGACGTAAACGTCCTTTTCTTCTGCCACCGTTTGGGAAATGAATTAATTTTCTGCTAAAGTGTCCTAATAATTACAGTGACATGCAGGTTAATTGCCTAATCTCTATTGCCATGGAGGCAATAAAAATGAATTAAATCCCCACACAATCTGTTACAGAACAGCCGGCAGAAGATGCTCTTTTTCCGGGGGGGACGCTCTGACCTAAATAACGTTTGTTTTTTTAAACATCCAGCAGGTGGTGGACGAGGAGCTCAGGTACGCGTGTTCGCTGTCATTAATGTTCCACTTTGATTTAGGGCTGGGAACTAGTTCTGGAGCGGAGGGAGGCTCTCTGAGCTCTCTAAAATATGGAGGTCCACCCTCACAATGTCAGCCAAGGACTCCTGGTGGCACCTTTTTATAAGATTTAAAAACTGACCTCAAAGTTCTAAGTTATGACAGGAAGTCACTCGTTGCTGTTTTTTTATGAATGGAATGGGCTGCAGGAGAGTTAATTAAAAAAGCAGGCAGGATTAAAACTACTAAGATGGAGAATTTGTGACAACATTTGCTGAAGTGAAAGTAAAGTTGGTGTGAGTGACGCAGAGCTGCAGTCCAGACGAGTCTGTTTCTCTCTAAAGAAACAACTGAATCCAGCAGCTTTTCATCAACACGCAAATGTTGGTTATTAAAGGAGTAAACGTTTTATTTGTGTCTCACTTGTTGTCCTCAGAGTGTCGATATGTCTGCTGCCAGCTGTCTGCTGACTGAAGATCAGTTCCTGTGCTCCATCTGTCTGGACGTGTTCACTCATCCAGTCACCATACCATGTGGACACAACTTCTGTAAAGCCTGCATCACTGACCACTGGAACGTTAATGCCCCGTCTAACTGTCCCAACTGTAACCAGGGTTTTAACACCAGACCTGAACTTCGGGTCAACACGTTCATCTCTGAGATGGCTGCTCAGTTCAGACTGTCAGCTCAACAGAAAGCCAGCAGCAGCAGCTCCGAGCAACAAGCTGCCCAACCAGGAGAAGTTCCCTGTGACGTCTGCACTGGAACCAAAGTGAAGGCCCTCAAGTCCTGCCTGGTGTGTCTGGCCTCCTACTGTGAGGCTCACCTGGAGCCTCATCTGACTACGTCAGGTCTGAAGAGACATCAGCTGATGGACCCTGTGGAGAACCTGGAAGGCTGGATGTGTACAAAGCACGATAAACTGCTGGAGCTGTTCTGTAAGACCGACCAGATGTGTGTCTGCATGCTCTGCACTGTTTTAGACCACAAGAACCACGATGTTGTTCCTCTGAGAGAAGAATATGAAGGAAAGAAGGCCGAGCTGGGGAAGACTGAGGCTGAAGTCCAGCAGATGATCCAGAAGAGATGCTGCTATACACACAAATTTCCCCCTGGGGATGAATAAAGTATATCTCTATCTATCTATTAGATGTTCTGATGACAGGTCAATATGTAACACACAAAGGGAGGGGGGGCAGCCTATTGCCATGGCGCTGGTGCTCTACTGCTGATTAATGTCGACCTGCATCCAGGAGTGATGGATGATGGCGGAGAGGGGACGAGGTCATGGTGGACATGGGTTTGTACTCTGATAAGAAGTCCCCCCACCACCCTCCACCGGGGACAGTCTCCAGACAACCCCCCCGTATTGAAAGGTCAGTAAACTGTGAGCAAAGGGGTCAGACATTAAACTGACAAACACACACAGAATATGTAGAGGACCAGAAATGTAGAGGACCAGTTGGCATAATATGTTATATTTAGCATTCTGTAGAGTTAGTGGTTTGTATTGATCGGCTGAATGGCAGATCTCAGATCAGGTTAAAGAAGTGTTTGTATTAGTGTGACAGCATTTTAATCCCGATGAAACAACGTTTCACACTTCAACGTCAACATTCGGAGCAGGCCTCGTGCTGACAGCCGGAGTGCCACTCCATCACCGCCAAACACTCGCTTACAGTACTGTGATATATCATTTTTCATGGCCTATCGCCCCCTGTCCTTCCCTCACCCCCTTTCACGTGGCGACAGCGCAGCATTCAGGGTTGTCCAAGGCGCGCTGCGTACGTCAGCGCTGACGGGTCATTTATTTCTGTTCTAAAGCTCTGACAGCAGGAAGGCGAGCAAACACATTCCCACAATGGGAACGGCCGACTTTCCTCTGAAATGTCCTCCAGGTGTGGGGGGTGGGGGGGGCAACAACGCATTTAATTTAACATTTAATAGGTTGTCATAACATGGCAGACGGTCTCCGTGGGAGTGATTGAAGAAACCATTACTCCCCCCCCACACACACACACACACACACACTGTGGTGGTGTGTGTTGGGAGGAACTCATGAATGCTAAGTGTGTCTTTGAATGTAACAGCAGCGAGTCACACCTGCAGCAAGATTAACTGTCACCAGTCTGAATGCATTAGGTTCTGCTGCTTTTCAAAATAAAAGACACATACACATGTCTTGTGTATTTTATATAGTCATTCGCTAATATTATGGGCCCTATTCTAGGTCACATTTTAATATCCTATAACAACTGATATACAACATTATTATAGAATAGGTCAAAGTTATAAGACATATTTTTGTTCTGTTTATTAACTCAAATACAGACCGACTGCAGGTTTTAAAAAAAGACATTTACCGTGTGCTCATTCGGGCTACCGTAAGTCCCAGACTGTAAAGTTCCTCCGTGTATGAACCTTGAGTTAAAGTACTGAGTCACTCATGGACTGGGTTGGTGTATTTTAGTAACTGGCCAAAGTAAAGAAAAGACTAAATGCAACTTCAGTTAAAAAAAGAGAACATTCTTAGTGTATAATCCCCTGATCTTTTCTTAACCCCTTGACCCATGACCCCTGTGATTAGGTTACTTTTGTGGGTGGAAAATTGTTTTATTGATGCCGGCAGTTGGGATCCGACTACACCCCCACCCCTCACACGTCTCCACCCAATTAGCGCTGACCTCTGACAAGGTCGCCGGTTATGGATTGCTCCTGTATTTACTTAAGCCGATCATGAGCTCGGAAGATGAATTACGCCACAAACTCCATCGGACGGGCCGGCTGGATAATAATTTATAAGTTTTTGATTCATAAATGTAGAACACCGTGGAGTTATTAAGAGCAGGAGACGTGGAGGGGAATTATAAAGTGGAGGAACGAGGACAAGAGTCACTTACCTTCATCACTGGGCTCAGGGGATGAACTCAGATGTGTCCAGGTGAGCGTTCGGATGCTATCAGAGCTCACACACACTGAAACAAACTGAACAAATCAGAGACGGTCCTTAGTATTTAAACGCTTTTCTTTGTGTACCGTGGCGATTGGACCCCATCCCCATTTATCTTTCCCTCCATCACACTTTTGTTTTCCCACTTCGTATTTTATTCTATTTCAGAGTCAATTAAAAGTTTGTTGTAGTTTTTCTTCTAAAAAGTAGGTAAATTAAAAGACAATTTTAGAACTAAGCAGAACAGTTTTGACAATCAGTTTCTGCCCTGATAGAGCAGCGAGTCTGTGGAAGAAAGAATAAGCAGATGTTTAACTCCTCATCCCCCACCAAGCAGTGAACCCCCCATGTGAATCTCATCTTTTCACCACGTTTATGTTTGTGCCAGAAGCTCCTAAAAGGCATCGGCATCGGCATAGAGACAAGCTTTTCATTCACTCCCACACACCTACAGGCAGTTAAGAGCCACCAATGAACCCTGCATGTCTTTGGACTGAGGGAGGAAGCCACAGTACCTGGAGAAACCCACGCAGGGACGAAACTCAGTACCCAGTGTTCCCAGTGTTGTGAGATATGCTAATGAGTGAGTGGAGGCTGACATCATTCAAATGTGGAACAGCTGAATATTTCCTGCTGTGTTTATGAATCAGCTAGTCACTTTGACTCAATGTATGTGTATGTGTGATTGACAGCTCTCTTAACGGATGATTTTACTGAATCATTGCCTGCTGAAAACATTTCTCCTGAATGAATTATGATCAGGGCGGCATGCCGTACGAATGTAGCCACTCTACGTTTGGCAGCGCAATATATTGTTTACCGCTCACCGCCGGGGTCGCTGCAGTTGGAGCTACTTGTGTTGCGTCTATTGAAATAGAGTCATGGCTATAACTTTATAATATCAATTAAATCCACAAGTAACAATCTTTAAAAGGGAAAAACAACAGTTGAATAATTGTACATTTTTTAAATAAAACGCCGATGGCTACAGCTCGTTCGCTATGACAAGAAGAAGAAAGGTTTTTGTTTTCAAAAAATCCCACGTAAGTTAGATCAGAAAACAATTTGAAACAAAGTTTGTTGAGTGGCTGGTATTATCTCTGGTAGCAACACTAGCAGCCACAACAAGCTAAGACGCTAATGAGCTAACATGCTAACGAGCTGGCTAGTTGAAGAACTATTCAGGTAGCCGGCGGTCCTTTTCCTGCGTCAATGAATAAATGTGTTTACTCGAAAAAGAAATACCGGGATATACCGGGATATCGTCAGAATTATATATTATAAAATATCGCCATGTGAAATTTTGGCCATACTGCCCAGCCCTAATCAAAGTCAGATGTTGTTGATTAATTTGATACCATATGATTCAAGACTTAATTTTATTTACCCCTAAAACATACCAAACAGAGACCCCTTGATTATTCCATAGATTCTAAATGATGAAATATAAAACAAACTTATCAAATAAATGAATATGATAGTCAACATTAAAATAACAACATTATCCTAACCCGGGCAGTTTTTAGCTTACTGTACCGTAGCAGTATTAAAGAATTATCGTGCATGTATTCAGGTGATTTAATGGTGTTAAAGTAAGCTTTAGCTCATTTTAATTTTAATTATGAGAGTTAAAACTGAGTCTGTGCGCTGGTAATGCCCTGAAGACGTCCGTTGTCATTGTAAACATTGTTTTTTGCGGGGAATAAACATTGGTTAAAGGTTTACCAAAATCATCATCAATGCGGTCAACATATCCAGCAACCCAACTCTGGCCTTTCACAATAAGATATCCCACTTCAACACCTATAAATAGCACATTAAAAAATGTACATCATTGCCCCAGCATTGTCCCACCATCGACTGAGGGTTCTTACTACCTTCTCAAATTAAAGTACCTTTCTTGCAGTAGTTAGACATGTAAATATTATATATACTTTTGAGATTTGAGGCATAGATTCGTTGACATATAAGAATAAAAATTACTGACGTTTTCGAGGCAATCTGCAAAAAAAATACCAGAAATAGCAGCAAATTTCGTATGTCTAGGTTAGGGTAATACTAGCTTTCGCTGCCTAGGTTAAGACAACATTAGGTTAGATGTCTTACATTATCTATGAAAGAATCTCTGTAAAAAATCAAGAGTTTGTTCTACTCACTGTGATTGACAGCCAAATTTAATAAGAAAAAAAGTAATCTTTAATTCACCCCAGAAAATGAACCAGACTGAGATCCCTTAATTTGAAAATATCTTGAAGAACAAAATAAAATAAAATAAAGTCAGATGCAGTTATTATAATAAATCAAACTACATCAGATAATCCATCAGTAGTTTACAATATGTGTGTTGGAGGAGTAAAAACGAAACAAATCAAAGTCAAATATTTACAGATAAATAGAAAAAAAACACAGAAAGTGAAAAATCAATCACCTATATACTGAAAATGATCAATAATGTAGATTTGTTAAGAGATTCAGACATGAATGAATGAACATCAACAGTTTGTTCTACTCAGTGTGATTGACAGCAGAGATGATCAGAGGAGCAGAGTTTTTACCATTATAATTAATAAATGGACTAAAGAGAGGGTAGAGTTTCTCAGTGAAGCAGCAGTCAGTAAAGGAGTAGATCAGAGCTGCAGCACCAACGTCATAAAAGGAGACCAGACCCTCCTCATAATCCACAAACACCCCCACCTTCTCAGGCCGGGACTCCAGAGAGAGACGGACTGATGGGCCAGCCCAAGCAGAGTAACTATTCTCATTCCTCAACCATATCGTCCAGTAACCATTCTGAGGAGACGGTGAGATGTTTCCCTTCCTGTTGATGGACTCTCTCACCACTCCTAACCACCAGTCAGTCTTCCCTTTAACCTGAACCTCGTAGTAAAATCTACCTGAAGAGAAACTCTGCTTTCCTAAAACAACAGGATAACAATTAAATCTCTCTGGATTGTCTGGGAGATTCTTCTCTACAGCTCCATCTTTAACTTGTTTTTCACCATCAGACAGGATGAGTTGAGGATGTGCTGTATCAGGATCAAGTGTCACATCCACTGCAGACTGCTGGACTCTCTTCAGCTCGACCTCCAGCAGCTTCTTCATCTGTTTACTGAGCTTCTTCTCCAGCTGGTGCACAGCTCTCACCACAGTCCCCTCATATGAAGGTGCACTGACTCTGACTCCTGTCCAGTCCTTGGTGGGTGGAGCAGTGTTCAGGGTCCTGAAGCTCTGGAGGAGGTGGAGGTGGTCTTCAGAGTGTGAGAGCTGCTCCACCTCAGTGCTTCTCTTCTTCAGCTCAGAGATCTCCTGTTCCAGCTTGATGATGAAGCCTTCAGCCTGTTTCTGTTTCTTTCTCTGCTTCTCTTTGATGGTGTCGATGAGCTCCGCCTGGCTTCTCTCAACAGACTCCTTCAGAGCGCTGAAGACCAGGACACCTTCTGCTACCTCTCTGTCTGCTGCTTCCTCACTGAGCTCCACTGAGTGTTTGATCTCCTGAATCTTCAGCCGTCTCTTCTGGATCATCTGCTGGACTTCAGCCTCAGTCTTCCCCAGCTCGGCCTTCTTTCCTTCATATTCTTCTCCCAGAGGAACAACATCATGGTTCTTGTGGTCTAAAACAGTGCAGAGCATGCAGACACACATCTGGTCGGTCTTACAGAACAGCTCCAGCAGTTTATCGTGCTTCGTACACATCCTGCCTTCCAGGTTCTCCACAGGGTCCATCAGCTGATGTCTCTTCAGACCTGACGTAGTCAGATGAGGCTCCAGGTGAGCCTCACAGTAGGAGACCAGACACACCAGGCAGGACTTGAGGGCCTTCACTTTGGTTCCAGTGCAGACGTCACAGGGAACTTCTCCTGGTTGGGCAGCTTGTTGCTCGGAGCTGCTGCTGCTGGCTTTCTGTTGAGTTGACAGTCTGAACTGAGCAGCCATCTCAGAGATGAATGTGTTGACCTGCAGCTCAGGTCTGGTGTTAAAACCCTGGTTACAGTTAGGACAGTTAGACGGGGCATTAACGTTCCAGTGGTCAGTGATGCAGGCTTTACAGAAGTTGTGTCCACATGGTATGGTGACTGGATGAGTGAACACGTCCAGACAGATGGAGCACAGAAACTGATCTTCTGTCTGCAGACAGCTGGCAGCAGACATATCGACACTCTGAGGACAACAAGTGTGGAGAACTATGATTAGAACATCTAGTAGTAGTAGTAGTAGTAGAACATCTTTGGTCTACAAGAGTCCGACTCTAAATACCATAGAAACCACATCAGTGCTGTTTGTATCGTCATGGAGACGATCCTCCGATTTCCAACCAACTAGTTACAGCCGGTTGGTTTTATATTCTCTAGATGTACATGTGGACATGGAGAGGTCACACAGTTTGTTCCTCTGCGTCCTAAAACCCTCCAAGTCCTGCTTCTTATAAACATCAAGAAGCATTATGAACATCAATGTAATAACAAACATTAATGACAAATAACACAACTACTGAACAGAGAATGTTCATCTGCTCCCTGATAAAAGAAACTTGTTTCTGCTGGAACCTAAACTGAAATATAATCTGCTTAAAAAATGGAAGAAGTTGCGATTAATGCATTTTGAATCGTTGCTCAGCGCTAGTTTTTATATTTAAAACCTCAATAACCGACGATGGCACTGAGCCAAACATTCACCCTGAGTGGAACTTCCTTTCAAGTTCAACCAGTTTTGAGGTATTTTGTTATTTATTACAACCAGGAAACAGGGGTGTGAGTTAGCTGAAGCTAACGCTAGCTGTGACTGTTCAGTCTCACTTAAACTATCCAGAGTTCAGTCTCTGTGTTTGGTTTCTACCTCTGATGCTTTATCTAAAATAAGACATTTCTTATTATCCTTAATATTGTTCATGTGATAAAAGCAGACGTCCAACAGTCAGATTGTGGTCTGAACTAAACTGGGAGCAGATGTTTAGTTCATGTATCTAGTCTTTGTAGAGCAGCGTACTCACCAGAGTTTGTCAGAGATCCTCTTGTGTTGTTGATGAAAAGCTGCTGGATTCAGTTGTTTCTTTAGAGAGAAACAGAGAGACTCGTCTGGACTGCAGCTCTGCGTCACTCACACCAACTTTACTTTACCTTCGTCCTCCTCTCAGGGAGGGAGGGTGGAGGAGGTACTCAGCTCCTCCTCTGAAGTAGAAGTACTTGGATCACTAAAGACCAGTTTTGGGCAAGTTACTGACAATTGGTAATTAGTTACAGTTACTAGTTACTTCTTTTAAAGGTAATTGAATTACTTACCAGTTACTGTACATCAAAAGTAATTACTCTGGAAAGTAACTTTTAAGTTACTTTTAATGTCTTTTTTTAAATATAAAATAATATGAACAGTCAAACACAAAAACAAACAATAATTATACCTATTTGTTGTAATCAACAGGGCAACAGGCTTTCAAATCAAGCAGTCGCACAAAAGTCCCTTTTACTTAATACAAAATAGCTGTCTCACTCATTTGCCTGAAGGCAACTGACTCGACAGTTGACAGGATGCACGTCATCTTCAACATACCGAGCAATCAATGTATTCAGCTCTGCACGGCTTATCGACACACACTTTTGCATGTTTTCACGCGCACTCACGCCATACATCGTATTTCTCACGGCAAAAAAAACTAAATTGGTGTTACAATCCAGCGCTCCCCTTCCCCGGAGTACTGAGGCCTTCAAAATCGGGTCCCCAAACTCGCCCCTGTTTACTGTCTAGTTGGTCTGTCCCATTTTGTGTTGGTTTGTTCCATTTGTGTCTGCCTGTTGTGCACGCCCACTCATCCCCACACACCTGTGTCTGGTTCCCCATCAAAGCTGGTCTGTAAATATACCCCTTATCCCTCTGTGTTCCTTGCAAAGTCTTGTGTAGTTAAACATCACATTCTGAGCGTTATTTGGATCTCCTGTTTTGTACTCCCGTTGAAGACTCCTTGTTTGTTCCTGACCTCGTTGCCTCCTGCCTGATCCCTGTCTGTACCTTCGCCTATCTCCTTGCTCCTGGATTTCGACCCCCTGCCTGTCTACTGGATACCACTAAGCCTACTCCCTGTGTACTTGTTGTTCATTAAAACTGCGCTCTGCGCTTGGGCCTACTCCTGTCTCCTGTGATGCGTCCAGGGCTGTAGTGGAGGGTAAACGCACGTAAACGCCGTTTACGCACCTCTGGAATTTTGGAAATAGCGTTTACGCACCTATAAATAGCGTTTACGCACCTCAAAGTTCCCTGTGCCTTGTATTCTTCCGTTGGAATAATCCGAAATAAACTTGATGTAATTTTAAAACAGCTAAGACTACGTTTCCTATTGTTGAACATATAAACGCCGTAGTCTGAATCATGTTCATCTGCGCTGTATTACGGTCTGTGAGCATCCAATCAGTGCCTTGCGGCTGCAGCAGCGACCAATCAGGATCCAGGAGGTGTGTAAACACACGGATCAGCCCACTGGTCCCCAACCTTTCTTACCTCACGGACCGGTTTCATGTCAGACAATATTTCGCGGACCGGTCGAGAAGGTCCGGCGGGGGGGTAGTAGTCATTGCGGGCGGAACGACTGACGGGGGGGGTAGTAGTCGCGCGCTCTAAAAGGACAAGAAAAACGCCTGGTGACGCGTAGATTAGAAAACAAGTCAGTTCTCAATGTGATAAAAAAAACATGCTGTATGGGCTATTTATGATGACATAGGTAGTACATGAGTGTTCCTTTAACTTATGTTGTCAGTGTAATTGACAGGCTGCTTAACTGGTTAACTCTTAAATTCAACATATTTTTTCAGGCAGTGATAGGACAGGTAATGATGCAGAGAACACAGGGAGAGGAGAAACACCAGGTCCAATAGAGAGAGGAGAAGCACAGAGGAGCCATGAACCCCAGAACGCGTGTTCTGTTCTTGTGTTGCGTTGCTTCGCATCGCGTCGAGGTCTGTATGATCACAAAAGTTTGAGTTTACCCACCTCTAATTTTACCACTACAGCACTGCTTTCATGCACTTAGTTTCCACCACACTGTTGAGTTTTATATTTTATTCACCTTTTCTGAACACTGGACCTGAACAGAAACCTTTTCATTCCTCCGATGACGGACTCTCAAACGTTGAGTTTCTCACCAAGTACTCGTATGTATGAATTGAGGCAAAGCAGACCGAGCAGAGGGGGCGGATCCCGAAGCTCAGATTGGATTTGCTATTATCCAGTGCAGGTTCTGCAGCCCATCAGCTACTTGGAGGGAGCAGCTGAGCGTACCTCAGGAACCGTTCACCCCGACCCGGAGCGGGAGGACCCTTTTTGTTTAAAGTTGGCCTAAGCGCCCTTTACCATGACTTTGTTATTAAAAATATCCCTTTTTGTTGTATGATTACTGCCTCTGAGCCTCCTCTTTTATCCCTGAATCTGGCCTTGACTTCCCCTGGGTTGCCACATTTGGGAGAACGTGGCCGTGGTGATCCGTTGCTAAAGGTTGAGGATAAAATAGGTACTGTGAGTGAGACCCAGAGTGCATTGCACGAGCATAGGCCACCCAAACCCAAACCCAGCGGGCCCAGAGCCGAAGAGCGTTACAGGACGCAATAACTACTCTGGGTCAACGTCTGGTTAAGCCAGAGAGGCCCACGCAACCCAGTAAAGTGCTCACCAAGCAGACTGGTGAGGATGACACGGAGGCCTACAGCGAGGCAGCGTTGAACCAAAGCAGAGTGGCCGGGTATACTGGCCCCTTTTTTAATGGGCGAAGCTCAAAAAGTCGCCGGCACCTTTCCCCCACCGACGTAAATAAGTTACTGTCAGTGATGAATCAGAAACTGTTCCGGCTTCCAGCCAACGAAACCTGGAGCCAAAGTATCAAACAATGGAACATTCCTAAATATATGAAGCCACTTGGATGAACGTTTGATGAGTTTATTGATTCAAATCAAAGCGCTCAAGTGTCAGGCGTTGTGTTTCATATCATATATGATATATGTAACTATCTGATCTGTTAGTGGACGTGTCTTCATAATAGTAATATTTGTTATGTTGGTGTTAATTCAGGTTTATGTCATTTCTATTGAGACTATTTCTTGTTTCATCCTTTCCTCTGGTTGTCTTTGGTTTGTACACTGGTCTCTGATCTGTGAAGGTGAGTGAACCCTTGAGAAGGTTTATTATGAAGTTTTATTGACACATTAACACCAAGACGACTTTAACCCTACAAAGCTCAGAGACCTGATGTTTCTTCTCACTTCTTTCTAACGCTTTTCAGAGAATTCAAACTAACTCTGCTTGAATCCTGTTAAGACCTTAGAGTCAGATATGAGTGGAAGCTATAATTCAACGCTCTGAAAAGTCATTTATTACATTTATTTTACAGGTCAGACTTCATCATAATCTTTAAAAGGACCAAGGAATTCTGAAGATGTTTTTGTTATATCGATGAAGTAAATTAGGTTTTCTGCAGACACATGAGGGACAGAGAGGTGCACACTCGCTCACAGACGCACCACATCCTGAAACACTGTTTTTTAAACTGAGGAGTAAGTAATACATTACTTTTTCTAATAATTTGTGCTAACATTCATAATGTGTTTTATATCCAATAATAAGAAAATAAAACATAATTGGACATGAAGATAAGGATTCGTAGAATGCTTCTTATTTGTGACTAAAGTCAGATGCAGTTATTATAATAAATCAAACTACATCAGATAATCCATCAGTAGTCTAAAATATGTGTGTTGGAGGAGTAAAAAAGAGACAAATCAAAGTCAAACATTTACAGATAAATAGAAAAAACACACGGAAAGTGAAAAATCAATCACGTATATACTGAAAATGATCAATAATGTAGATTTGTTAAGTTATCTATGAAAGAATCTCTTAAGAACAAATGTTTGTTCTACTCAGTGTGATTGACAGCAGAGATGATCAGAGGAGCAGAGTCAAAAATATTATTTACAAACCTAATTAGCTTTGTATTGAAGGGTCTATTGAGACTAAAGTATGGGTAGAGTTTCTCAGTGAAGCAGCAGCCAGTAAAGGAGTAGATCAGAGCTGCAGCACCAACGTCATAAAAGGAGACCAGACCCTCCTCATAATCCACAAACACCCCCACCTTCTCAGGCCGGGGCTCCAGAGAGAGACTGACTGGAGGGTCAGCAAGAGCAGAGTAATTATTCTTATTCCACAACCGTATCGCCCAGTAACCATTCTGAGGAGACGCTGAGATGTTTCCCTTCCTGTTGATGGACTCTCTCACCACTCCTAAATCCCAGTCAGTCTTCCCTTTAACCTGAACCTCGTAGTAAAATCTACCTGAAGAGAAACTCTGCTTTCCTAAAACAACAGCACAACGATTAAATCTCTCTGGATTGTCTGGGAGATTCTTCTTTACATCTCCACGTTTAACTTGTTTTCCATCATCAGACAGGATGAGTTTAGGATGTGCTGTATCAGGATCAAGTGTCACATCCACTGCAGACTGCTGGACTCTCTTCAGCTCGACCTCCAGCAGCTTCTTCATCTGTTTACTGAGCTTCTTGTCTAGCTGATGCACAGCTCTCACCACAGTCCCCTCATATGAAGGTGCACTGACTCTGACTCCTGTCCAGTCCTTGGTGGGTGGAGCAGTGTTCAGCGTCCTGAAGCTCTGGAGGAGGTGGAGGTGGTCTTCAGAGCGTGAGAGCTGCTCCACCTCAGTGCTTCTCTTCTTCAGCTCAGAGATCTCCTGTTCCAGCTCTTTGATGAAGCCTTCAGCCTGTTTCTGTGTCTTTCTCTGCTTCTTTTTGATGGTGTCGATGAGCTCCGCCTGGCTTCTCTCAACAGACTCCTTCAGAGCGCTGAAGACCAGGACACCTTCTGCTACCTCTCTGTCTGCTTCTTCCTCACTGAGCTCCACTGAGTGTTTGATCTCCTGAATCTTCAGTCGTCTCTTCTGGATCATCTGCTGGACTTCAGCCTCAGTCTTCCCCAGCTCGGCCTTCTTTCCTTCATATTCTTCTCTCAGAGGAACAACATCATGGTTCTTGTGGTCTAAAACAGTGCAGAGCATGCAGACACACATCTGGTCGGTCTTACAGAACAGCTCCAGCAGTTTATCGTGCTTCGTACACATCCTGCCTTCCAGGTTCTCCACAGGGTCCATCAGCTGATGTTTCTTGAGGGCCTTCACTTTGGTTCCAGTGCAGACGTCACAGGGAACTTCTCCTGGTTGGGCAGCTTGTTGCTCTGAGCTGCTGCTGCTGGCTTTCTGTTGAGCTGACAGTCTGAACTGAGCAGCCATCTCAGAGATGAACGTGTTGACCTGCAGCTCAGGTCTGGTGTTAAAACCCTGGTTACAGTTGGGACAGTTAGGCGGGGCATTAACGTTCCAGTGGTCAGTGATGCAGGCTTTACAGAAGTTGTGTCCACATGGTATGGTGACTGGATGAGTGAACACGGCCAGACAGATGGAGCACAGGAACTGATCTTCAGTCAGCAGACGGCTGGCAGCAGACATATCGACACTCTGAGGACAACAAGTGTGGAGAAACAAGACTGTTAATTATTTGTTTAATAAAATTAAACTTGATTTGTACAATAAAAGGAGCATAATTCTGAATTATGTTAATGAATTTGGTGCAGTGAAGGAGAGTTATTGACATACAGATTTTTTATATTTTGTATTTCTTCTTGCGATATGATATGATACACTCAAAATAGTTTAAAAACAAGTTTTCTCTAAACGGCCGTTGGTATATATATATATATATTTCAATCAAATATTTCAATCAAATATATATACATATATATTTGATTTCAAATACGCAAAATGATCTCTCAATTACTGTCACAGCGAGCACTAAACATAATAATAATAATAATATTGTACAGTAGTTAATTATGTTATTACATTTTTTTAAACAATCTTAAAGTGGACTTTTACATGAAATAGAATTAACACATTTTTGATTTACTGTTAAATACATATGCAGTATTTTACTTTATTTTTTGTTTCATAGCAGCATCTGGGGGACTGGAGCCGAATAAAAATCACACCCATTTGAAGAAAGACCTTTAGTGTGAAAGAGTCAGACCCGAGTGGAACTTCCTGTCTGTGTGCAGCTGAGGTCTGAAGTCTGTTGTGTTACGTATCGTAGGATATTAGAAATAATCTGACGACCCGGTTCATAAATTAATAAAATGCTATTATGATATTGATATTGACTGAGAGATATTCGAAATCCAAGATACAATGGACGCAGCATTCAGTGTAATACCTCTGTCACAAGCAGACGTTCCCCGTCTCCGGAATACTAAAGTCCGAAGCTCGGGATCTCAGTCACCCCTCTGTCGCACGTGACAATGGTTTGTGCCACTCAGGATCAGCCCACTGAGCGGGCACGGCCACTCCCACCAACGCACCTGTGGCTCGTCCCTCATCAGGAAAGGTTGGGCATTTAAGCTGCCGAAGCCTCAGAAGCCGGTGCGAAGTCTCGTGCATGTTACCATCACATTCTGAGCGTTCTCTTGATATCCTGTTTCTGCCTACCTGTTATTTGACCTCTCCTTTGTCCCAGACCTCGTTCACGCCTGCCTGACCCTCGACGGTACCTCTGCCTACCTCCGCGCTCCCGGCTTTCGACCCCTGCCTGTTCACCGGACCCTGCCACGCCTGATCCTTGTCTGTACCCCGCTAATAAAACTGCGCTCTGCGCTTGAGTTCACTCTGGTCTCTTGTGGTGCGTTACAGAAGACTTCGCCCCAACCAGACTCCGCAGAGGCGCAGCGTTTCCATCGCCTGTGGAAACGTCCGACCCGGATCAGCAGACTGAAGGAGACCTCAGTATGCCTCAGGTCATTGAGCATCTCGCCGCGGTCCAGACCAAGCAGGGCCAACGACTCGGCCAAATCGGGGAAGCCTTAAACACCCTAGCAGCAGCTCTTCAGGAGCTCAAGCAGCACGCGGAGCATACGTCCGCGCGGGCGGCCGCCCTTACTGCTTCAGCCGGAGTTTCTGCTGCCATGGAAAACCCCACACCGGCTATACCGCAGTCAGCACCTCATCTAGCGCCACCTCAGCGTTATGACGGTAGCCCTGAGTCCTGCAGAGGTTTCCTGACCCAGTGCTCCCTGGTGTTTGAATTACAGGCTCCACTGTTTATTTCAGGTCGCGCTAGGGTGGCCTTTATTATCTCTAGGCTCACAGGGAGAGCTTTAGAGTGGGCCACTGCAGTGTGGGGCCAACAGGACCCTGTCTGTTCAGACCATAAGAGGTTCATGCAACAGCTAAGACAGGTGTTTGATCACCCCTATAGTGTGCAGGAGGCTGCCAGCCGCCTCTTGAAGCTGCGCCAGGGACAACGGGCGGTGGCTGATTTTGCTATAGACTTCAGGACCCTGGCGACAGAGAGCAGATGGGAGGAGTCTGCTCTGATGACCACCTTCTATCATAGCCTTGGTGACTCTCTTAAGGATGAACTGGTGAACAGGGACTGGGGTAATACCCTTGAGGACCTCATCAGTCTGGCTGCTCAACTCGACCGTAGCAGGAGAGACAGCAGGAAAAGAGCTCCAGGAGCGGGGAGGGTCATCATTCCAGGGGCCTTCCACACTCCACCTCCGCGGTTGCTCCTGGTTCGGAGGGAGAGCCAATGCAACTCGGGGGGACTCTACTGTCTCCAGAGGAGCGCGAGCGACGGAGGGTTGAGGGTTTATGCTTCTACTGCGGGAGGACTGGACACTACCGGAACACCTGCCCGCATCGGGGAACCAGAGGTCAACCACTGACGGTGAGCACGCTTCTCTGCCCCAACATTTCCTCGCACCAATGTCTGTTGTCGGTCACTATCATCGGGGGTAAGGGGCGAGTAACCGTTCCAGCATTAGTAGACTCAGGGTCTGCAGGGAATTTCATTAGTCGACGTCTAGTGCAACATCTTCAACTAGCTACGTCGCCCTGCTCTCCGCCGCTCCCGATTACGGCCATTAACAATCAGCCTCTCGGGTCAGGTCTCATCTCGCAGGCTACAGTCCCGGTTACCCTGGTCGTGGGTGTTTTGCACTCTGAAAGACTATCTTTGCTAGTTATTGACGACATAACGAATGAAGTTATCTTAGGCTTGCCATGGCTGGCATTCCACAAACCACAGATTGCCTGGACCAATAATGAACTGCTCCGTTGGAGCGACAAGTGTGCCTCCCAGTGCCTGGTTAAACCCATTAGAGCAGCCACCATCAGGAGCCCAGCCGCCGCGGCCCCACCAGGGGTCCCCTCTGTCTACCTGGATCTCGCAGCGGTATTCAGCAAGACGAGCGCCGAATGCTTGCCACCACACAGACCAGGGGACTGTGCCATAGACCTGATGTCAGGAGCTACTCTACCCCGAGGTAGGATCTTCCCCCTATCTTTGCCAGAATCACAGGCCATGGAGAATTATGTGGAAGAGGCTCTCGCCAAGGGTTTCATTCGCCCCTCCACATCACCCGCAGCGTCGAGCTTCTTCTTTGTGAAGAAGGATGGCGGGCTTCGACCATGTATTGATTATAGGGGGTTGAACGCCACCACCATTAAGTACCGATACCCCCTGCCGTTGGTGCCTGCGGCTGTAGAACAACTACGAGAGGCCCAGGTATATACCAAACTCGATCTCCGCAGCGCCTATAACCTTATTCGCATCAGGGACGGTGACGAATGGAAAACTGCATTTCACACGGCAACGGGGCATTACGAGTATCTGGTGATGCCTTTTGGGTTAGCCAACGCCCCGTCCGTGTTCCAAGCGTTCGTCAACGAGGTGCTCCGGGAATACATAGGAAAATGTGTAATCGTGTACATTGATGACATCTTGGTCTACTCAACAGATCTGGAGAAGCATGTTGCGCATGTACGCCAAGTCCTCGAGAAACTGCTGGAGAACCACCTTTATGTCAAGTTGGAGAAATGCGAGTTCCATAAGACCCAGGTACAATTTCTGGGGTACGTAATTTCCTCCCAGGGGGTCCAGATGGACAAGGATAAGATCAAGGCAGTAGTGGACTGGCCGGGGCCCCAGACCGTTAAGGAGCTCCAGCGCTTTCTGGGCTTCGCAAACTTTTACAGGCGTTTCATTCGCAACTTCAGTTCAGTGGCTGCACCGCTAACGTCTCTTTTAAAGGGGTCTCCCAAGAAACTCGTCTGGAATGAGGCTGCCGCCCGGGCCTTCAGAGAGCTGAAGGACAGATTCACCTCAGCACCTGTCCTCAAGCACCCGGACCCGAACCTCCCCTTTGTGGTGGAGGTGGATACCTCGGAAACAGGAGTAGGAGGCATCCTCTCTCAGCGCCATGGTAAGCCCGCTAAACTACACCCATGTGCGTTCTTTTCGCGCAAATTGACCTCGGCGGAGAGGAATTACGACGTGGGAAATCGCGAACTCCTGGCAGTCAAACTGGCCTTTGAGGAGTGGAGACACTGGCTGGAGGGAACCAAGCACCCCTTTGTGGTCCTAACGGACCACCGCAATTTGGAATACATTCAGTCGGCTAAACGCTTGAACCCTCGTCAGGCGCGTTGGGCTCTGTTTTTTACCCGGTTTGATTTCACCCTGACCTATAGACCAGGTTCGAAGAACGGCAAAGCAGACGCACTCTCCCGTCTCCATGATACGGTGACGTCCCAGAACACCCCGGGTCCGATCCTGCCCACCCAACACATCATCGCCCCCATCAGATGGGACATCATGGGACAGATCCAACAGGCCTTGCCAGGAGACCCGGTTCCCCCGGGGTGCCCCGGGGACAGAACCTATGTGCCCTCAGCGGTCCGCGCCCAGCTCCTGCATTGGGTACATTCGTCTCCCAGTTCAGGACATCCAGGTGTTCAACGCACTCTCTCACTGACCAGGGAGCAGTTTTGGTGGCCATCGTTGGTACGGGACGTCACAAATTACGTCACGGCCTGTGCCGTATGTGCCCAGACGAGGTCCTCCCGACAACTACCCTCCGGTCTCCTGGAACCGCTCCCCATACCTAATAGACCTTGGTCCCACATGGCGGTGGATTTCATTACCGACCTTCCCCGTTCTCAGGGTTTTACCACCATCCTGGTGGCAGTGGATAGGTTCTCCAAGGCATGCCGTCTGATTCCCCTCAAAGGATTACCCACTGCCTTGGAAACCGCGGAGGCACTGTTTCACCATGTGTTCCGGACCTTCGGCCTACCGGAGGAGATTGTGTCAGACAGAGGGGTCCAGTTCACCTCGAAGGTATGGGCAGCATTTTTTTAAAATGTTAAATGTTCAAGTGCATCTGTCTTCAGGATATCATCCACAGAGCAATGGGCAGACAGAAGGGCTGAACCAAGAGATTGGCCGGTTCCTACGCGCCTACTGCTTCCAGCAACCGAGGGAGTGGAGCCGGTTTTTGCCATGGGCCGAATATGCTCAGAACGCCCATAAGAGCTCGTCCACCAAGATATCGCCGTTCCTGTGTATGTTGGGTTTCCAGCCAGCCTTATTTTCATGGTCCGGGGAGTCGTCAGAGGTCTTGGCGGTGGACGACTGGTTAAGACTGAGTAGGAGCATCTGGGATGCCGCTCGAGTCCAGATACAACGGGCCGTCCAGCGTCAGAAGGGGAACGCCGATCAGCACAGGCGCTTAGCGCCCCGGTTCCAACCCGGTCAGGACGTATGGCTGTCCACACGGAATATCCGTCTACGCCTCCCTTCCAAGAAGCTAAGTCCCCGTTTCGTCGGCCCATTCAAAATCATTAAGCAGATCAATCCTGTGTCATATCGTTTGCAGTTACCCCCCCCCCACTACAGGATCAATCCGACGTTCCACGTATCCCTGCTCAAACCGGCCATCAGGACCTGTGATGGTCAGTCAGGACCGGAGGTGCAGCCGACGACCCCCCCACCGCCTCTGGAGGACGAGGCGACTCACGCGGTCAGGGCTCTGCTGAACTCGCGACGTCGCCAGGCGGGTCTCCAATACCTCGTAGACTGGGAGGGGTATGGCCCGGAGGAAAGAGCCTGGCGCCCAGCCTCGGATATTCACCCAGATCTCATTACAGAATTTCATCAGGCCCATCCCGAGTGCCCCGGCCCACGGCCACGGGGCAGGCCCCCCCCGTAGAGGTCGAAATTCGGCTTCCGGAGCCGCCTCTAGACAGGGGGGTTCTGTCACAAGCAGACGTTCCCCGTCTCCGGAATACTAAAGTCCGAAGCTCGGGATCTCAGTCACCCTTCTGTCGCACGTGACAATGGTTTGTGCCACTCAGGATCAGCCCACTGAGCGGGCACGGCCACTCCCACCAACGCACCTGTGGCTCGTCCCTCATCAGGAGAGGTTGGGCATTTAAGCTGCCGAAGCCTCAGAAGCCGGTGCGAAGTCTCGTGCATGTTACCATCACATTCTGAGCGTTCTCTTGATATCCTGTTTCTGCCTACCTGTTATTTGACCTCTCCTTTGTCCCAGACCTCGTTCACGCCTGCCTGACCCTCGACGGTACCTCTGCCTACCTCCGCGCTCCCGGCTTTCGACCCCTGCCTGTTCACCGGACCCTACCACGCCTGATCCTTGTCTGTACCCCGCTAATAAAACTGCGCTCTGCGCTTGAGTTCACTCTGGTCTCTTGTGGTGCGTTACAACCTCATTGCACCACTTTATCTGTGGAAAACTCCAAATACCCAGCCACCTTGAACTCACCTGAAGTCCTGCGCTCAGAGGCGTGGACACTGCCGACCGCAGCAGCTTTAACCCAATCACCACAGAGGAACTATCTGTTGGACCAATAGCATAGTTAGCACACCTTTATTGATTCCTATATATGTGCGTGTATGTCCCCTTGTTCGGGATTCGTGGGTGAAACTGGTAGACAGTTAGCTACTTTGTAGTCAAAGGACTCGCTGTTAACTTTTTAGCACAACGTTCTTTATTATATTCTTTGGATTATAACTTTTTTTGATGCGAGAGGACCTTTGTCCGTCTGCAGTTTCTTCATTTTGAACACAACAGTGTACAATACGTTTTGGAAGCCGTTGTATCTTTGGCTAACTTGGTCGTCGTGGCGCAGAGCTAGAGAGGGTGCTTAGTTCACCATCTTCTTTATGTGATAAAAGCAGACGTCAGATTGTGGTCAACTGGGAGCAGATGTTTAGTTCATGTATCTAGCCTTTGTAGAGCAGCGTACTCTCCTGCTTCTTATAAACATCAAGAAGCATTATGAACATGAAAGAAACTTGTTTCTGCTGGAACCTAAACAGAAATATAATCTGCTTAAAAAATGGAAGAAGTTGCGATTAATGCATTTTGAATCGTTGCTCAGCGCTAGTTTTTATATTTAAAACCCATGACCGACGATGGCACTCAGCCAAACATTCACCCTGAGTGGAACTTCCTTTCAAGTTCAACCAGTTTTGAGGTATTTTGTTATTTATTACAACCAGGAAACAGGTGTGTGAGTTAGCTGAAGCTAACGCTAGCTGTGACTGTTCAGTCTCACTTTAACTATCCAGAGTTCAGTCTCTGTGTTTGGTTTCTACCTCTGATGCTTTATCTAAAATAAGACATTTCTTATTATCCTTAATATTGTTCATGTGATAAAAGCAGACGTCCAACAGTCAGATTGTGGTCTGAACTAAACTGGGAGCAGATGTTTAGTTCATGTATCTAGTCTTTTTAGAGCAGCGTACTCACCAGAGTTTGTCAGAGATCCTGTTGTGTTGTTGATGAAAAGCTGCTGGATTCAGTTGTTTCTTTAGAGAGAAACAGAGACTCGTCTGGACTGCAGCTCTGCGTCACTCACACCAACTTTACTTTACCTTCGTCCTCCTCTCAGGGAGGGAGGGTGGAGGAGGTACTCAGCTCCTCCTCTGAAGTAGAAGCACTTGGTCCACGTTCGTAGGATCTCGGTCCCTGTGAGGACCTTCTATCTCTATAAAGCTTTGTGACCATGTGTTTCCAGCTGATCCTAGAGGCTTTTCAAAGGGTTTATTTATATGAGGTGAGAATATTTGGCATGTAAGAAACATATTCACTCTGAGAAACTGACTCACTCCAGGTGACAGGAGACAATAATAATCTAAATTCTATCAAGGATTTAGAAATACTACATGTCTCCGTGGACACAAACCACCAGGACGGGGGTCACCTCGAGCATTTTTGGCCATACCCATTCAAATTCATCAAGATCAGTGAATAATTTGATACTAATATGAATCAATACTTTGTGTCATTTACCCCTAAAAACATACCAGACAGAGACGTTAAATCACCTGAATACATTATACAATCATTTTTATCAATAGTTTTACTGGGTAGTTAGCTAAAAACTGTCCTGGTCAGGACACCCTGACATTAACCATCCAGTTATAGTTATTATTGATAAAAATGATTGTATAATGTATTCAGGTGATTTAACGGTCTCTGTCTGGTATGTTTTTAGGGGTAAATGACACAAAGTATTGATTGACAAATGATTGTGTACTGTATTCAGGTGATTTAATGGTGTTAAAGTGTAAGTATTGAGTCTTTGAACTCCTCTCAGTATTTATCGCTCGTGTTTGAGTCTCTCTTCACTGGCTACGGTGGCTGCCCGCATCCACTTCAAACCATTGGTGCTCACGTACCATGATGTGAATGGATCGGGTCCAGTCTACATCCAGGACGTGGTCAAACCCGACATCCCGACCCGTTTTCCTGTTCCCTCTAAAGTTCCCTTTTTCTCGTGCCATCGTCCTCCACCGCTTCCTGTTTTGAATCGGTTAACCTTCCTGGTTGGAGGGGGTCGTGGGGGGGGGGGGCGTCCCGCGGCGGGGTCCTGCTCTGCAGATTAGCCGCTGACGCATTTATCAAGGGATGACAAATGAGCTGTCTTTCCAGATGCCTGATTACTTGCCCTTGTATTCCAAAGGAGCTGGGCGGCTGCCAGGTTTTGGTTGGAGGGGGGGGTCGGGTGGTATTAAGTGGTGCCATTCGGGTATTGGGCAGCTCGATGTGAGGGGGGGGGGGGCGCCTGGATGCAACGCCTCTACGGTCAAACATGAATTAAGAAAGTAGTTATTAAGATTGGCCGGCGCTGAGGCAAGGGTAATTGAAAATTCTCCTTTCACCGAGAAACCAGCAGCGACGCGGCACATCGGTTTCTATTTGAGGCCGGGGGGCTGATGAGTATCACACATTAAAGCCTGGGGGGGGGCATTGTCCTTTCAGAGGCCTCTGATTTGAGACCATTACACGAGTGGGGCCGCGTCGCCTCCTCAATGCGGCAACTCTTCTTTTCTTATTTCCTTCAGCCAGGCAGCAGATTGTCGTTTAATGCTCTGATTGTGTGTGTGTGTGTGTGTGTGTGTGTGTGTGTGTGTGTGTGTGTGTGTCTTCTCACAGGCCACAGATTGTGATTCATTAAAGTCCCCATCCTGACGTTCAGGCCGCTGAACATCAACTCGCATACTGAACCTGCACAACTTGTAGACACCTCGACTCGAAAAGTTACCAAATCTGTTGGTACCAACAGGAAACAGAAAGATAAAAACTTCTGTTTGTCTGTATTTTGGGTCTTTTAACCGCTCACACCAGCATTTAAACACAAATTTGTTCTCAAGTGGAATCCCTGTGATCAGTGGATCCGCCGCTTTAGTTCCACTTTGGTTTCTCTGACGCTGCAATTTGATTAGCGGATCGATGGAAATCATAATTGACAGCGGCGACTTATCAACTCTGCAGGCAGATGATAAACGTGTCACCAAACGTGTCCTAAAATTGTCACTGGAGAGCCGAAGAAGACGAGCATCGATCATCAGGACCAAAGGGAGAAGGAAACACGTCAATCTTATGGAAGACGTATGGAATCAAACCAAAAATCGAACCTGAACGACGTGATAAATGTTGCTTTTTAAATGTGGAGATGGAGGCTGGGCAGCTTCATAAAACTTTAGGAACTTAATCGGGAAATTTACATTAAGAAGGAAAGTTTCCAAACTGCGACGTTTGACAGATAATTTGGAGAGAAAATGACATGATAGATTTTAGATGAAACTTGTCGTATTTAAATGCAGGAATTAACTTTTCCTCTCGTCCACACTTTCCTTCCTCATCTTGCAATAAGACTTTCCAATTTGTCCGCCCACCGACTTGAGCGACCGTCTTCACTTTGAGCGGGAGGAGTATTTTTTTGATCCGGGGGGGTTCCAGGAGAGTGAGGTCAGGACCCCATCGGGGCCCCTGGGGGCCCACGGAGCCGCTGGCTCGTCTCTGCAGCAGATGAGGCGATCAGCGGGGTGTGAAATGACCGCGGTGATTGCTCCGAGACCCCCCCTCCCCCCCCACTCCATCTCATTGTTAAAGGTACAGTCAGCCAAAGGAAAACTAGTGGAAAAGGAGTTTATTCAGTGTTCCAGCTCTCTGTGTTTATCAGATAATGTGCATATATAACTTATTGTAAGTTATTGTAAGATAAAAAGCCTCAGAGTGGGTGTGTCTGTGTTTGATTGACAACCACTTGGCAGGCTCAGCCTCCCATTCAAGTCGACATGTTGTTGGTATTAAAGTATTAAAGAACACCGCAGCATCTCACCAGAGAAGGGACCTTTGCAGGCACAATAAGACGTGTATTTTTTATGCATTTAAAAGATGCAAAGCTAACGTGTCTGTTGTTTTTATTCTGGAAACAAGTCCTCCAACTTTCGGGGGAGAACTATAAGCACCTTGACCTCTTAATGCAAAGACGTGAAGAAACCAAAACAATGAGAATATTTTGATTCACAGAGCAGATGTTGGGGACTATTTTCGGCAGGGTATGAATCCACAGGTGGTGCTCCGGTGAGCAGGACGGCATTTTGTGGGACTACACGCGTGTGTTGCTGGTGGTGAACATGTCGGCAGCACTGAGCTCTGGGACAGGAGATATCAGGCAAACGGCACTCATGATAATAATTATGTTCTGAATTCTCAATTAAGATTTTCTCAAAGCCTCATTCACAACCTCTTCATGCACTGGCGGCTACGTCTTGATAGCATCGTGGTAAGTAGCTGATAAATGCTTTTAAATCTCTGCTCCAGGATTAAAAACCGACGGATTACGTTTTGATCAAGTCAAACAACAAATTCAGAGCTTTTTGAACCTCCAGCTGAAGTGACAATCATTGAGACTTTTATTTTTCAACAGCCAAAACAGTCCAGGGGCCTCATTTATAAAACCTTGCGTAGGATTTGCGCCAGAAGTGGTGTACGGATGAAACGTAGGACGTGCGTACGCACCGAAATATTCAGACTTATAAAACCGTGCGCACGCACGTCCTACGCAGTTTTCCCTTAATAAATCACAATCACTTCTAAATGCAGCGCCGCTTTTGCGGCTAAAGAAAAAATGGTCTGACATCAAAGTGGATGCAAAAAAAGCGTTTAGCGCGCCATCGCCAAAGTGTGTCTGCCCCGGGGGGGAGAGGGGACACCGGAGCTGTCCCCTCCTGATGAGAGACTGGCGGCAAGGATCGGGGACCGGGTCTGGGCCAACATCAGCGTCAGGGGGGTCGAGGCACGTTTGGAAGCTGTGCCACATTATGTAGCACATGCCAGCATGGTTTTGCACACCTTTTCAGGAGTAAACAATAATCTCCCTCCAGTGCAGTCGAGGCAGCGCCATCTGCCCTTAAACAGGCCGATGGTGCGCTGCACTACAGCGCGAATCCTTCCATGTGCCACGTCTTCTAAGAGCGCAAGATCAGCCATTACGCGTCATTACGCATTGTGGCGGCATCGTGGCATTTTATTACCGTCCATTTGATTGCATCTGGCAAGCAACAGCTGTGTTTTGGGGATGAATTGCATAACATGTCCATATTATCGCAGAACATATTTCACTTTTCTTTTTGAAAATGTGTTCATTTGTATTTGTTTGTTTTACGCTGCAGATCGATCAAACGGGTGTTCGTGTTATTTATGAGAGGAAGTATTGGCATTTCTTTTACACAACAGTCTAGTTTTACACACTTTCACACACGTTTGCGTGTTTCTTGCATTTGCCGACGGTTCTCATTTCACCCGTTTTTGTGCGTACGCATGGGTCCGAGCTTCCGTGAAGGACCGCACATTTTTCCGTCAAGTTTGCTTTTTATCAATACCAATTATTGCGTAGAGAGCGGCGTACGCCTTCTTTTGTGCGTACGCAACGTTTATAAATGAGGCCCCAGATCTTCACTGGAAAGGGTCCAGATGTGGAGGCCATCGCCAGGCCATCCGGACCGACCGGGAGACCCGGCAGCTTCATCCAATCACGTCTGACGACGACCCAGGGACGAGAGCTGGGGGGCAAAGAGCAGGTTTTTCATTTTGTGCTGAGATGCCGCTGCCTTTCCTCCTCCCTCCTTTCCTGTTCAGGAAATCATCTCCTTTTTCGTTCAATAATCTCGTCGCGTGGCTCCTCGGCGCACCGAGGGCGACGAGAAGGCCGAAGGGCCGGCGCCCACCATCAGCGGCGGATGAGATGGGCGGAGGTGGCTGATTTTCATTAAGATGGACTCCGGAGCGCTTGTCTTGTTAGCGGGTCGTTAGGCTCTCGGAGGCCGACAGATGGGCTGAACAGGAAGCAGGGGAGCAGGAGGAAGGTAATTGCGCTCGGGAGCGACCACTCGGGTGGCCCGATCCGCCACGCGGCGTCCTTGATTGGTTAATTAGCGCGTTGTCAATCAGCCCCCCTTCCGGCGGCTCGCTCTCACAGCACTTAAAAAGGTGAGAGAGTGTTTCTAATGAAGCCTGAAACCTTCACGCTCGTTATGGCTGCGATGGAAATGAAGGGCTCGGGCTGAATGGAGGAGCAACACACAAACACGCAGCGACGGGGAGTCCGGGTCCAGGGATGTTATTGGATAGTTTACAAAAGACAGAGTGCTTCATTTATGTATTTTTGTAAGAACAAATGTCGAGAGGGCCTGAGGGAGGCCGCCTGGCGACAACAAAACAAATGAAAACAATGCCAGTTTTTCATCAGGCGCCTTCTCAGCCGGCTCAGGGCCCGCTCACAAGCGTGGCCCCCTTCTGAGGATTGTGCTGCTCAGAAAGGGTGAAGAGAAATGATACTGTGAAATATCTGCCCCTCGTCTCCGTCGCCTGGTGCCGCGTCATGTATCAGCGTCTTCTTGTTGATCTCTTATCTCACGCTATTAATAAACAAACATCAGAAGGAACGTGTTCATTGTTTGCTCTGTTCGCTTCCTGTCTACCTCCAGCTCTGTGTGCAGGATTAAACAACACTCCGAGTGCCTTAAATACAACAATTACTAAACTATCTACCACCAACGCCGCCGCCGGCCTTCCCGTTACCAGACAGCAACAAAAAAACAATTGTCTTTATTTACGTTCTATATGTATGTGGTGAGGAATTGGCATTTACTCTACTAATGTAATTTAATTTAATAAAATAAGGAATAAGGATTTCTTCTATTATACGACCTATTCTACTTCAACATTCAATACATTTAATTAATAATGATAAAGAATATAATTAACATCTACATAATGATGTGGTAATGTTAATAACACCTGCTGCAACTTTAATGAACCAACAATTATAATTTAGTGATATGTATATTATTCTGAAATGGGCCATTCTGCATATGATACTTTTACTTTTGGCCCCTTTGAACATTTGATGCCAAAACGTTTGTATTTTTGTTAACTTAAGTTATCAACTTAGCAGCAATGCTAACCACCACCACGCTCACTCCGAGGTGTAGGAGGTGGACAAAATAATGAAGACGTCTCTTTAATGAGCCGATCCGAAGGAAATGTGTTTATTTATGAGTTAATTACCGCTCCATGCTTTGGATTATCATGGTCAACATCAAAGACATTTCACACCCCAGAGACCCCGAGTGGGTGTGTATGTGTGTGCGTGTGTGTGTGCATATGCGTGTGTGTGGTCGAGCTCGGGACGCCTGAAATATCTGCTGCTAATGAGAGGAACCGTGTTGAGTCATCAGCGGGATATTCACGAGATGCGAGGCGGAGAGGACTGGACCCGCGGGGATGCTGGGGCCCCGGCTGCCCTCACTTAACCCCAACGTCCTCCTTTCTGCTGCTCATCTCATCGCAGCAATATTTCTGCCTCAAACGTCCAGGACGCGGTTCTCAAATGTTTAAGCGTCAGTCAGGTGTGAAAGCCACTACTGGGGGTTCTCTGTAGGAGGTTTTTTATTTAATACGCTGGCTGTAAACATAATTTGGGCACTCATAAGATCTGTGTTGATCACGTGGCCATTTGCGGAACTGCAGTTTTTAAGCACTTTTGCAGTGGGTTTATATTTTTTTGCGCTTAATGGAAACGCGCTTATTATGTTGTTTTATATCGTGGTCTGCAGGCGGATGCTTGCAGGTGATCCACTTCAGAACACGATCGCTCCTTCTTGTCTCGTCTCGGAGGAACAGGAAGAACGTGCAGATCTGGGCCTCCATAAACCATAAACATACACTGGATCTCACTCAGCCCCCCAGCTGTTGCCTTGGGAACAGATGTGTTTATAACCGGAAGGAGGGAGGTGGAGGGTGAACACTCGTGTTTCCTCTTCCTTTCAGCATGTCAGCTGTTTCACGGGCAGGACGGCGGCGCCACCTTGTGGCCTCTCGGATGTTAGGGAAGGTTTTGTGTGGCATGTTAAATTAAACAGGAGAAAAAAGACGAGTGTAACATTTGAAGTAATAAAACCAGGACAGATGGAATCAGTGATTCAATAACATATTTTAATTTTTCAGTGTTTTAGTATAAAATCCCATCAGCCTGCTGTCGGCTGGTTTGCGCTCCCGTCGGCTATAACTGTGGTTTATCCCAGAGAATCAGCTAAAGTACCAAAACTATTTACACACAACATTCACATCCAAAAGGGGCCAAACAAAACAGGAAGTCTACCCATTGCTACCCTGCCAAAATAAAACAAACACTATCACCTCACCTCAGATTTAATGCTAAAATACTCAAAGTAAAAAACAGACAAGAGGGAGGGGTGGGGGGGGGTGGGGTTACTCTACGCGTGGGTGCCCGTGGTATCTCATTACAATACTCTCTATAAAGTAATGCATATACATTTTCTGCTTTACAATAAATTAGTACAGGCACGTTCTCAGACGACTGAAGATTCTGTGAACTCATCACTGAAACAACTCAACTGTGAAGGAGAAGGACGACACACGAGTGGGCAGCCGATTTGGTTTTTGGTTTCGGTGTGAATGATGCACTTTAGGCATATTATACTTAGAAAGCATCTATATAGATTTTATATAAATATGTACAAAAAAGGAAAAAAACAAATAGCCCAGTAAAAACATTCCGGTAAAAAAAAAAAAAAAATGACACACAAACAATTAATGCCAGAGAAGAAAGATTCCAAAGCTTGAGAACTCAATAAGTTACAAAACCAGTTTTTTTTTTTTAAAGAGCTGAACTTTAAAATAAAAAGGTCAATACAGTATGTATGATTTGTTTTCTCTGTGTAGAGATAGCACCAGCTGATCATCGTATAAATATCTGAAGACCGAGTACCGGGACAAACTGAGGGAGTGAATAAATTAGTGTCAGGCCTTGTACAGGAGTATTTACAGGAGCTGCTGCAGTCGCACACACACACACTCACACACACACACACGCACACTGATGGACACTTTCATGGCAGTGAGATTGTTGCAGCAGTCTTGCAGCACATTTTGAAGGAGGTCAGAGGTCAAATCCGACACATTCAACAGGTTTAAACCTGTCATTTTTCAGTCCTCACAGCCCAGGTACGTTTTTCCCCACTTATGTCTCAACGTTTCACACCAGCTAACTGAGTTGTTGTCGTTGCATAGCTCTTTGACAAAAACAAGATGGACGTCATCAGCTACAGAATTTGGGGGGTGGTGGGGGTTCCAGTTTGCAGGACATGGTAAACATGTGCATTTCTGTGCGTATGAGACGGAGTGTCTCAGCTTGTGAATGTGAAAAAGAAGGCTGAGAGAGGAGAGAAAGGAGGGTGAGAGTGATGATGGAGGACTTCAGAGGGGGCGTGGGGGTGTGCCTGTGAGTTTTCAGTCCGAGGTGCCGGCCTCTCCGCCCACGCGGTCCCGGTGCTTCATGGCCCGCTCGAAGGCGAGCCGCACAGTTTTTCGGAGGCAGGAGGAGCGAGCCTCCTCCAGCTTGGTTTTGTCGAGCGCCCGGTTGATCCCGCAGGGAGCCATCTTGGATCTAGGAAGCCATTGCCTGAGGAGGAGAGAGGGAGTGGACCAGAGGTCAAACGGGTTAACATTGAAGGACACACTCGTCTTCCCCCAGACGGCTACGGTCAAGTGATTCCAATGTTCCATAAACAAACCCCCTCTGGTGGACCAGATGTTTGGGTGTTTTTGTTTCGTTGCTATGCTTTTTTTAAAGGAAAAAGACTGAAGCTTTTAAAGACTCTTAATGGAGAAGTTTATTCTTTATTCCACTCCGGTGACTTCCTCACCAGCTGCGCTTGCTGTCGAAGAAGTGGACGAGGAAGAGTTTCTCTGCGGACCTGAACTGCATCCGCTCTCCGGCTCTGAGGACGTCCGGTGGCGGAGGCGGCTGGGGAAGCTCCGCCCCTTTGTGCTGACCCCCCGTCCTCCGCGTTCTGGGGTCCGTGATCTGTGACGGCCACAAAAAAAAAAAAAAAAAAAAAAAATGGAATGGAGGCCGAGTGAAGCTGCAGGTCTCACTGTAACAGGGGTGCGTGGAGCCATTCCTCCAGAAGACACGCCCCCCTCGCCTCCTCCTCCCAACTCAAAGAGACAAGCATGCACAGGCGAGTGGAGCCGGAGACGCTCGGAGCACAGAAACACCGACAAGATGTCAGAGACGCGGGCACAAATCACGAGCTACGGCACGCACAATGGCAGACATGTAATGAGACACAAAGAGGGGTGGAGGGGTGTGTGTTTGTGTGTAGGGGGGGCTAGCTAGCACTCACTCACCAGGGCGGGGTAGGAGGGATATCCACTACATTTAGCCCAAACTAGTTTAAGAGGCTCCAGAACAAACGGAGGAGTGGCGAAGGGCTTCCACACCTCTACAGGAACAACGATAAGCAGGTTATGAGCTATTCAGTGCAAGCACACACACACACACACACACACTTTTTAAAGAACTCAAGATGAGTTGCATACACACACACACACACACACACACACACATATATATGTATGTATATATATATATATATATATATATATACATAAACATACATATTTAAGCCACGATGACGTTAATCCCAAAGCAGATTAATGCTTAGCTTGTTTTTCTCCTCGATGTACTCGGCTGGGTTCCTTATCGTATCGAGGCGAAAGGTCCAGACACAGAACGACGATCCTCTGAGGCTCACGCTCATACTGTGTGGTCTCAGCTCTAAAGTCGTTCTCTTCTGCTTATTGTGCCAAACACATCCGACTGGTGATGAGGAGGAGGAGCTAGCGGCTAGCTGGTTAGTGAGTGGCTCCTCCCCCTGGTCGGCGCCGACCCGTCACTTCCAAAGAGAAGCTGAACTACAGCCGTCAGCGCTGAGCTTTCATTCCAAGAGACTCGTTTGGGACGGACACCTTTTCTTTTTTTACAGAGTGAGACTTCCTCTCTACTGCAACAAGTCACATGCTGTGTTTTGCTTATTTAGCTTGTGTAAAACACTTTCAGATTCAGTAGCTTTATTGTGTATTTTGTGAAGTACTTTATTTCTTATGTTACTACTTATGTTAAAACAAAGACAATTAGCCACAGAACCCACAGAAGGAGACAGACTTCCCTTCACCACACCGGCTCCCTCACAGGTTTCCTGTTCCTCGTTCACCGCTTCCTTTTACGGATGAGACTTGAACCTTTGAGTCCCCTGACAACTTTATGGAGGACCTCAGAACCCCCCACCCCAAGTTGAGTGAATAAAAGGGGAGAGCTGACCTGGACTTCGACACAGACGACGGCGCTCTGCTCACCTGACGGCGTCTTGGAGGCTTTGGCGAGCTCCCCGTTCTCCACGCTGGTCACCGGGGCGCTGTGGTCGTCCACGGTGCTCCGCCGGGCCGCCGGCAAGCTCCCTCTACCCCCTTTAGAAATTATGACGGTGCTGGAGGAGACGGGGGAGAGCTGGATGAGACTTAAAATAAATCACAGGACATACCCTGGAGGAGGAACACCGAAGTCCTCCTTCATCATTTCTTCTGATTCTACGATAAAATAATTCCTTTTCGACCACTTTTTGTTTTGTTGCAATACTTAACGAGCCTTTGATCTCACGATGGCTCAATACACCGTTCGGTCTTCCATGGTCGGATTGTTATTGCCGCTCCACAGCTTTGATCGGACTTCCTTTCTGGGAACACCGACCGACCAATGAGTGCAGGGGGGAGGCGACATGAGCTTTGTTTAAAGTTCACCTGAGGGGTATTTAGAAGCTTTACTTAAAGTCTTCTCAGCTTGTGTGAACTACAGACCTTTTCTAGACATTTTACCAAAATAAAACGGATCCATTAAGAATCAAAGTGCTGACTCATTCTTTGGGTTCGTTGGACTCAGTTCTCATATCTTATTAAGTACACGGTGCGAGTCGGAGCACGCCAAAGATGAACTCATCTGGTTAAGGTGAGTTTATGTGTTGACACATTTCTTTCCCATCATGCCGCTGTGCTCTCAGTCTCAGAGATGAACTGGGTCACTTCTCCTCCTGCAACTCACCTCGTGCCGCAGAGGACGCTCCCGCTGGAAGAGATGCTTGACTCGGAGGCACAGCGGCGGCGAGGCTCCAGCAGGCGAGGGGACGGAGAGACACCCTCCTCCTCCTCCTCCACCACAAAACCGTTTGCCATTCCTGGAAGAGAACGTGTCACAGTGCCGTTTAGGGTTTGCACTCGGACCGCTCCAACGTCTTGTCAAACGTTTCAGTACCTGTGCCGAGGCGTTTTATCGGCGACTCCTCGTCCTCCTCCTCGCCGTCGCCACTGCTGCTGTGTCGCCTCTTCTTCGGCAGGAGCAGCGTCTCCAACCGAGGGATCACCACTGACAGGAAGGTTTTGGCGCCCAGGGAAGGCGGCGCCGGGGTGGACGCCTCTGGGCTCTTCAGTGGTTTCTGGGGGCTGGTGCCCTTGGACTTGCGGAAGAGGACGTGGTTCCGCCGGTTGCAGGCGGCAGCGTTGGAGAGTGGCGGCTCGGGGGCGAGCCCGTCGAGCGCTGAGGTAGACATGTCGTTGTGCAGCTCCGAGAGAGAACGATCCGCGCTGGCTTTGGCCGCCTTCTGAGGGGGCGGCGGCTCCGAGGCGTCAATCCGCGACAGCAAGGTCAACAGCTCTAACGTTTGGGGAGGCCGAGGCGGCTCCTGTGGCGGCATGCGGGGCTCCGCCGGGGATTTGGGAGCTGCTTCCTCTGGGGGGGTGCCGCTGGGCTCCGGCGGCGGCTTCCGGGGGGGCTGCCTGAGGCTCATCTCGCTGCGGACCTCCGTGATGGTCTTCTTGAGCAGTTTGAGCCTCTTGCTGCGCGACGGGCTGTGCTTCATGGCCGTGCTCAGGTCCAACTTCTCCAGCAGCTCCCTCAGCTGCTCCTCCAGGGGGGTCAGCTGCCGGTACGCGGGGGTCAGCAGCCGGTCCACTGGGAGGGACAGATGATCACATGACATCGTCACACAGTTACCTCTAGCAGCGGATTTAGCAGCACTCAGTCCACCCGACTCACCGTCCTCCCAGCAGAAGGCGGGGGCCGCCCCCGGCTTCGGGGCCTCGGGCAGGTGCAGCCCGCTGGGGAAGTCAAAGCCGATTCTCTCGGCTTCCCGGCGAGCCCTGCGGAGGATGGCGCCCCCATGGTCCTGCATGCGCTGGGCGGCCCGGTAAAAGAAGGTGTCCTTGGCGTTGTACTTCATGCAGTTGAAGATGACGAGGTCGAAGTCGGCCTCAAACTCCTCCAGGCTCCTGTAGGCGTGGCCGTCGATGCGCTTCCTCATGGTGGAGAAGTCCATGGGGTCCTGGATGTGGTCCAGGTAGTCGGGCACCTGCGAGAGGCAGAGGGGACGTGTTCACTTCCACTACGGACATCGTTTGTCCTGTTTAATTCAAACGTGACGGCTGACCTCGCTTCGCAGGAAGCGGAACGACATGCCGGGTTTTATCACTTATCAGCAGAGACCGTTAAAAAAGCATTTAACACATTCTATGTTATGTGATTTCAATTAGGATTATTCAACGTTTCAGAGACAAAGCGAGCAGATGCGGCGGACCTCCTTGGCGCTGACGGGATGGGCGAAGATGCTGTACTGGTCCTTCTCCTGCAGCTGGCTGAGCACGGCCCGCAGCAGGATGTTGAAGGGCGTCAGCTGGACCTCCAGTGCCGACTGCTGCAGCTTCATCTGACGGGAGAACACGCACACAACAAATGTCACTAAAGCAGCTTCGCCACTGAAACTTGAAATCTGAGAGGTTTCTTATGCTGTAAGCATCAACAGAACCTTGAAAAAAGTGACTTGTTTGATTTAATTGGCCGGCGGATGGAAATGAAAAACAACCCTACCTCCTCCCTCTTCAGCTTCTCTCTCTTCCGGATGAGCTCCAGCAGCAGGCGTGCTCGCTCCAGGTCGTGCCGCAGGCGGTGCCACTCCTTCAGTTGCTCCTTCAGCGCCTGGTTGGTCTCCGCGCGGTCCTGCAGAAGAACGCGCACACTTTGTGGTAAACGGGCCGACGTCAGAGGAGGAGGCCGGCGCGCCGCTGGGTCGGCACTGACCGTCTGCTTGACCTTGGGGGGCTGGGGGTGGGCCTGCAGCCGGCGGATGAGTGGCACGTTGTTCCTCGACTGCCTCTTCTGCACCCAGTAGCTCAGCACCCGCTCCACAAACACGCGCTTCCTCTGCACCGCCACCTGGTTCAGGATGGTGTCAAAACTGAACCCCGGGGAGGCGGAGGGAGATATGAATCCATTAATACGGGTCATTTCAGAGGAGTTAGCCTGAGCAGGAAGCAGGAACTTCTGCTTCAGGCTTATGGATTTGTGTTACCGATATTAATTACATGTTATTAATATTATTCAACAAATATTAATAAAGTGTTTAAACTAGACCGGCCTTTACTGATGTTCCTCTGTCTGAACATCATACATACACGTTACTTAGGACCCGAGTGGCACTGGGCGAGAAAACACTAATAATGTGAGAGAGATGCATTCTGGAGTCTTGTTTCTCCCTGCCTACCTTGAGATGGTGATGCTGGGCCCGGGGCTGGCGGGGGCCTCGGCCTCTGGTTCCGGATCGCCCCTCTTGCTCTTCTTCCTGGCCCAGCCTTTGGCCCGGGACTTCCCCCTCTTGTCGGCCCTCTTGAGACACGCTCCGTTCTTGGCGTGCGGCTCCTCGTAGATGCCGAGCGGCCGGCGGTCGCAGCCCTCGGGCGTGTGGCCGCAGCAGTAGGCGGTCTTCTTCACGGAGAAGGAGGCGCCGCCGGATAGCGTCACCTCCCTGACAGGCTCCATCTTCATGTACAGGCCCGCCCTCTGGGCACAGCTGACGTGGAAGGCGGCGTAGCAGTTGATCTTGTCGCACTGGATGCACGCCCCGGCGCCCTTCTCCTTGCACAGGTAGCAGGTGAGCTTCCAGCGCGCCGGCGGGATGTTGCGCAAGCCGTCGATGGGCTCGATGAAGACCGTGTCGGAGAAGCCCACCTCAGGCACCCACAGCGCGCACGCCACGTGGCCCCAGCGGTCGTCGTCGGTCTTCTTCAGGGCGCCGCCCCGGTTGGGGCAGAAGACGCAGTCGGCGGGCCGCGCCGGACACTGCAGGCAGTGGCGGCACAGCCACTGGCCCTCGGGGACGTACGGCACGCCGTAGCACTCCTGGTGCACGGCGATGTTGCACGAGTCGCAGAAGAGGATGACGTTGCTGTCGGCGCCGTCTCCGTCCATGCACACGCAGCACACGGCGTCCTCGTCCACCAGCGAGCGCAAGTCGCTCTGGCCCCGCGTGGCGGCGTGCGACTCCTTCTCGAAGCGGTCCATGAGGAACTCGAACAGGTTGAAGGACACCTGGCTGACGCCCTCGCTCCGCCTCTTCTCGTTGACGATCTCCAGCCAGGCGTAGTCCTCCTCGTCCATGTCGTACTCCACCTCCTCGTCCAGCTCCTCCGACGTCCTCTCTGTGTACTTGTAGTACGCCACCGGCCTCTTGGGCACCACCGGCAGGTTGTACTCCACAGTCCTGACCTTGGGCTCCAGCAGGCCGCCGGTGCCAGTGTGCGCGGCCGTGAGCGCGGCGTTCTTCTTCTGCTGGCTGTTTTTGAGGCGCACGGAGCGCACCAGGACCTGCTGGGGCTTCTCGTTGTTCTCCTTGTTGCTGTTGCACTCCATGATCTCCTGGGCCGTGGGGTCGTCGTCGCCGATGACGTCCATCTTGTCGTAGATGCTGAGGCGGTGCATGCGGCCGTCCACCTCCAGCTCCACGATGCGCTGGGCCTGCGCGTACGTCAGCGTCTCCCGGTTGGCCGACGGCTTGATGGGCGAGGAGTCCCTCTTCAGCACCGCGGGGCGGTGATGTCGACTTTTCTTCTTCATGCCGTAGAGACCCTGAGGGGACGAGTGAGACAACACTGTCAAATGCGTTAAGTCGGGGAAGCAGTGATCAATGAGGGTGCCCTTTAACCATTTTAAAGAACAACATATTTTCACTGCGGTTTAACATCAGGCAATGCTTACACGTTGAGCTTCATTCCTGATAATGTACAAATATTTCAACAACAAAAAAATAACTGGTTTAACGTTTTGTCCAAAATAAATAAAATAAAAGACAACAGCACTTAGATTTAATAATATTCTGTTTGGACTGTGGAATATTGTATCCCTAAAATGTATGAGAAAAACAAAGTGTACGAATTTCCTGATTAAAATCACACATTTGATCAAAGACAAGACCGCTTTTTTAAACTCAAAAGCATTGCCATGTTTTAACTCACCAATTCAAACGCCAGCACTAACATCATTCATATGAATCGTTTGGACATGTGTGTTTTGAGGAAAAATGTCCTTTCTTTGCAGTTTTTTTTAATTTCTTCACTTCATCATTTGATGCGTTATTAGGCATGTAGCTGCCAGGAAAATAAATAAAGTGGTTTGTTTTCATTTGCTTTTCCCAGATCCATTAGCAGGTTTACATCAATGCATGAAAAACTATTCTACAAACTACTATACAAACTTCTATTTTCACAAATATTTAAAAAATAGTCAAAATAATTTGCTGCTAAAGTTCTTTCTAACTCTGCTCTTTGCGCAACGACAGCGCGGCTATACTTCAAGGTGCAGCATGAAACGTGCGCGTGTGAGTGTGTGTGTGTGCGTGCGTGCGTGCGTGCAGCTTTAAACACGTGTGTGTGTGTGTGTGCGTGTCTGTGCAGCTTTAAACACGTGTGTGTGTGAGTGTCTGTGCAGCTTTAAACGTGTGTGTGTGTGCGCCTGTGCAGCTCTAGTCTTCGGTTGGGGGTAAACTGGGGGCGGGGGGACCAGCTGCCACTGCTATAACATCCCCCGGATGAATGGCGGAGAAGCACTGGGAGCCCCGCACGTCACTGGCGGACCCGGCTGTCAGCTCCGCCGGCCCGGCTGAAGCGTCCTGACGGCCTGTTAGAGAGAGACTAACGGCAGCTGCAGCTCGTTCGGTTTCTTTCGGTTGAATGGCGTGCGTGCGTGTTGCCCACTAGCTAACGGTAGCTGAACCGCAACATAGAGCCTCATTGTTAATCGAGCCGGCTTTAAAGCGACACACCGAACACGGGTCGGTTCCAGGAACGGGGTCCTCCTTTTAGACGGGCGGCCCTTCCGGCGGCCGGTTTCACGCGTTTGGACACTCCGTCCACCAACCGGGCTAACGTTAGCCTGCTAGCATTACACCTTAACTGAAGGGGGAGGAAATATGGCGACCAGCACAACAAGAAACTGCCTCGACAGGAAAGCGAGGCTTCCTCTCGGACCAGCGCGGGCCGGTTTCAGCTGTAAATCGGCCCGGGTTGCGAAGGTGCGATATTTAAAACGTGAGTGCAAAGTGGGGCTCAACTTACCGGGGGTATTTTCACGAATTCAGCTTGTAAAAACGGCAGCAATGGCGGTGCGGCCTGCGAAGCGAAGCGGCAGTTAAATCCACATCCAGTCCCCTCGTCCGGCCGCGGCTCGCGCTCAACCGACTCAAACCGGAGAAGGACCGACGAGTATCCAGGGCGACGGAGTCGGTTTCGAGGTGTTATCACTTTAATTAGGATCACTTGCGGGTCGAATGGGGCTGTTCGGAAGCGGCAGAGCTCAGCGGCTGCCCGAGCTTCTCTTCCCCAACAACAATGCGGTTGTGCGAGCCGTGCGTCGTGACGTCACCGCGTACGGACGTGATAAACGCGCTCCAGTTTGGTATGTCAAAGTTACTCAGGTACTGTAAATACGTTTTAAAAAAGTACTTCCCCTTTACTAGTATTTCGACGTAATTTAACTTTATACTTCTCCTGCGCTACATCTAAATGGTAAAGTAAATATTGCACGTTTTAATCTGTCTGACAGCTTTATTTACCTCCCCAGACGACGCTTTCATCCCCTTCCAGTCCAGGTAAAACCAGATGTAAAATCCAGATGTGAAGTCTATTGTTTGATCAACTGAAGTGTTCCTTATGTGCTGACCATATTCTCCCACTTTAGGTAAACTGTTGGATCAGTTTGAAAATACATTGTCAAAGCCAAAAACAGGTTGTTCGCACAGGACAGGTGCTATGACCATGAGTTAATGGGATATGATACATTGATGTACATTCAATGTCAGGGTATAAAGGAGTTTAAAAAAGGAGTTTAATTAGAGCCATAGACATCTACCGTGGTAAATACAAAATGCTTAAAATACAAATCTTGTAAACCACGCACGTTTGTTCGCGAGATTTGAAGAGATTAATTTTAGTTTTAATTAAGTTTTAAAATGTTTACAGCGCCTCACGCCTAATACATAGAAGGATCTGTCACAAAAGAAAAAGGATATGTTTAGCTTAGTACAAAGCAGTGTTAATTTTGGCAGCTATTTTTGATTGTCTTGGTCTTTAGACGAAAAATGCATATTAGTTTGTCATTTTAATCCTTTAGTTTTAGTCGACGAAAACTAGACTAAAATGTAATTCATTTTAGTCACATTTAATCGCCATATTAAACTCCTTTTCTTCTTCTCAGGCCCAGGGACCCCCCGTGTTGTCTACAACTGCATAATAGTCTAGCTTGCAGTACTTGGTTGTCCATTAGACGTCCCTCCTAGGACAGCTCTATAGCAGGTCGGCAAACTTTCTGACTCGGGCCACAATGGGTTGTAAAATTTGACAGAGGAGCCGGGCCAAGAACAAATGTTTGAAGTGTTTGTATGAGCTGATATAAATGACATGTGAAAAATCATTACATGAAAGGATTTGGATTTTAACAAATAGCAAAGCATTTATTTGCAAGGCAATTTAACAAAGGTGTAACAACTTCATGAGGACCAGGGATCTAAACGCAACACTTTTTTGTCTTTGTTTACTTGCAATGCTTTTGACATGGCCACTGTAAACTTCATGGTCTTTTTTTTGTTTCCACTGTGAAATTCCTCGTCCCAACCAAAAAGACCCCTTAACGTCCTAAAATCGGTGCAATACATTATTTTCTTGGCTGCATCATAAACCAGCCATTCTAAACTGGACCCCCACTTTTCATTCAAGTCTTTTCTTTCTCTTTGTTCATTTGTTGGTTTCATGACCAGTTCTTCTCTCTTGTGTACTGCGGGTTTTCCTCCACCTGCTCTGTGCCGCCACGTCCTTCACCTGCACTGCGCAGTTCTATCAAAAGGATCCACCTGTCACGTGTGTGGCGCCTCTACGTTGCTTAGCAACAAGCGTACGGTGGCCGAGACGGTTTAACGGTCTTCTCACGATGTGGCGTGTGAACTATATTTGAAATGCGTGTGTCTCACGGTCAATGCGTGAGGCTTCATAACCTCCAATGACTTTATTATGTTAGGCGTGTTAACAGCCCCGAGCTGTTAAACGGGTCGTCATGTTTCTGAAGCAGCGCGACTTCAGCCTGCTAAGTCAGCTAAACCGAGACAGCTGAGCTAAACAAATGAAGCCACATTTAAACTCGCCGATGCGAGCGTTCTGGGTTTGTGGATGACGTCATCATGACGCGTTAATATCCGCCGTACTTTGTCTGTCTGTTAGCTGCGTGCGAATTTAGGGGGGAAAAAAGTATCGTGACTTCGTCAACCACCAACATGTTCGTCTCGTCAACGAAAGTTAGAATAGATTTAGTCAGTTTTTATTTAAGATAGTTTTCGTCTCGTCCTAGGTCATGGAAAAAAAGGTTAACAAATTTCTCGTCATAGTTTTCATCGACAATTAACATTGGTACAAAGGTAGCTAGAGGAAAAGACTAGCCATTCCCTCCCTCCCCCTGCTAAGTTAAACACATTGCTCTGACTGTTCCTTTGACGATGACTCGTCCGGTGGATCCGCCTCCTCTTGACTCTGGTTGGACGGAGCGTCTTCCCTGGACAGCAGGTTGTTTTTGCGCAGGTGGCAGGCCTGCTGGTATGGGGGCCGTATCGGCGGTTGGGTGGGGGGGGTGTATTGGTACGGTTTGTCAGCATTCAACTGAAGAGAGAGTCAGAGATAGTTCATGTGTAACAAAAGAAACATTGATTTACTAGATCATGAAATAAGAATCCTTTAAAATACCCATAATTCACCTTTAACCCCTGAAAACAATTATGGTTTAGTAAAATTGGTTAAAAAAAAAAAATTCTACTAAAATACCGGAAATAGAATTATAAATGGATAATTAGTCATTTATGATCTACAAAATTGGATAATTTGCATGGTTAAAATAAATAATGAATGAAATAACTATTCAAATAACATGACACAGCAGACCATGTTTCTGTTAATGGTACGGATAATCGCGCCTCTCCTCACCTCCAGAGGATAAGTCCTGTCTGAGTCAAAAGCGCTGAGGTCACCGCACGCCAGGAAGGGAACGATGACGCGGTTCGGACCCTCCAGCTGGTTAAAGTCCACGTCTGAAGCACAGAATCCAGAATTAGGAGAACCAGGGCATATTATTCACTTTAGCATTCTTCTGTCAGTCAGTCACTACTACATGTGGCCACAGGGGTCACTGCTCAGCAAGTTCCTTTGGTGTCAATATATTGTATCTGTTTAAAAGGTCGTATTCCCTTTGACGTCCAATTTAAGGACAAACTTTTTAATTTTAGCAGTTCTCTATGAGTCTTTTAAAACCGATAAATTGGTCAGCAGAATCTCAAGTGACGAGCAGAAGTACTGTTTCTATCTTTTCCGGCTTGTGATTCTGAGACCAGTTGTGCTTTCCTGATCCACAATCAGAGATCCGGAGATGGACCACGCGGGCTGGTAGTTACCGTAGGAATGATCCAGCAGAGGGTTGGACATATTGGGGACGTAACCGTCAGGAGGAGAGTAATTCTGGCACACCACGAACGCCTCTGCACACAATCAGACGCACATCCGAAGCAGTTAGTCAGCAGATTGTATCCAGCATTCTGTGCAGTCCCAGTTCTGTAAACGGTAGGGCTGCAACTAAAGATTATTTGAATAAATCAATAGATTATTTTTCCAAAGAAAAAAAAAAACTCATTAAGAATAGCTTTGATTTCCAACCCTTTATTGCTCTTTAAACACATTATAGAAAAATGAATTACCTGCACAACACTTTTACATTACATGTCATTTAGCTGGCATGTAATGTAATAATGGATTTCATCGATTTGTTGTTGCAGCCCTAGTAAACGGGTTTGTCTCAGTGATTGGTCAACAGGTAGAGGGTTCTCACCAATGCTGGAGTTCCTGCTGCTGCGAGGCTTGGCGCAGGTCACACCGCTGAAGAAGATCTTCAGCTGAGAGTACAACAGAGTCACATCCTTCCCCCGGAAGATCTGAACCAGAAGAGTTAAATTTTTATTTGACACTTGATCAAATTCCTTTTTTTTTTTAAGTATATACGAGTTTAGCCGGCACTTGCTGCAGACACACCTGGTGGAGATCTTCCCTTCACTTGAGCTTTGTTTTGTTAATAAATCACGTGAACTGAACACTTGGACTCACCTTGGCCACAAAGGTCCCTCCAGGTTTCAGGACGTGAGTCGTGATGTTCAGAGCCTGAGAGACAAACAGGGTGTGAGAGGGACCATGTGGCCCGACCGGCAGATCCTAAAACATAAAAAACCTCTGCATACTCACGGCCAGCAGGAGCTGAGCCTGGATGTACTCGTCCACGTCGTGGAGCCCGGTTACTATGGAGACGGGACAGTAGAGTAAGTGCCAACGGGTGCAAGGAGAACCTTAAGAACAGAAAATAGGTCTCACCGTCCGGAGCGCCGTCACACACCACCAGGTCGGCCGGCTGACCCTCAAAGTGACGGATGATCTCCTGAGCCGTCGACACCTGGGAGGAGGAGACATGGGTCATGTGACACACCGACAAACTTCTCATCTCATTAAACTGGGTTGTGTTGGCGATATTTTGTTAAGTTCTACTGGTCCTTATGGGATCTGACGCCTCTCCAAAAACCAAACACGACCTCCTTCGGGCCTGTTGGGAAAACTCCTCAACTAGAATCTCCCCTTTTGAAGGAATGTGAACTAACAAAAAGAACCAACTACGAAGGTTTCAGGTTCTGTTTGTTAAAGATCAGAGTTGCATGTCTGCTCACCTTGGTGATGTCTCCCTGGATCTGGGTGACTCCTGGTAGGGGGGCCATGGCCTGCAGGTCCACCGCCACGATCTTCACCTCCTCCCCAGCGTCGCCCTTCCCCTCCTGCCCTCTGAGCGGAATAACAGAACAACAAGGGAGTTTGCTCCTGGAATCCACTTCACGTCTGTCAAAAGTGGGTTCAAGGTCAAGAATAAAAACAGCAAACCTGAGTTTCCGACTGAGGACCTGACTCCAGCTGCCGGGAGCCGCACACAGATCAACGGCTCTGGACACACCTAAGAGGAGGAGGAGGAGAAGAAGACAAGACATACAAATCCGACATTTAGTAAGACAGAAGAGGACCAGAGGCAGTGGGCGGAGTCTGAAGCCCCTCCTCTCAGGTGCTCACCTGTGAACAGGTTGAACTCGAGGTCGAGCTGCAGCAGCTTGAAGGCACTCCTCGCTCTCCAGCCCTCTTCTTTGGCCAGGCGGTAATAAATGTCCCGCTTGTCTTTGGAGGAGCGACCCATTGTGACCTCTGACCCCTGTAATAAAAACAACCCACAAACACGCTATGATAAAGATTTTAGAAGACTTTTTACCATTCATTTGTTTTTCCAATTAATGTAAATTACTTATTTATTTTATAATTGACCAATGCAAATATCAGTCCCAACATAACCAAATACTTAACCTACACTTTTAACGAACACAGGTGATGGTCACCATCAGTCCACGTGTTTTAGCTACGAGGTTCTGCCGCTACTGTTATTTAACTAAAATAGTCCAAATCATTCATTCATTAGTGGCTGGAGTTTCGTTTGCTCTATATCGCCCGAATTTACCAGCGCATCGTAATGGATCCAAAATATATTTGGTCATCGTTTAGGAAACATTGTTAACGCGCATAGCCTGATTTTAACCACTTTTACAACGGGGTTTGGCGTGTTCCTAAAAACTGCCTATTTCACGGCTGCCACAGCGTCTTGTCTAACGTTAGATTAGTATTTCTCCCCGGGTTGAAAACATACACATTTATATAAAACAATACATGTTAAACAACAGCACCACATCGACTTTCGGCGCAAAAAGAACCGTTCCCAAACTGCGGTGCTTACCGATCACGTGTAGTTCCGGTGTTGACGATGGAAGGACCCCCACCGACAGCTGTTCCCCCGACGCGCCTGTTCAGAATTACGCTGCCCGTCACAAATATAAACGTTAAAATACCAAACATAATTGTATATTTTCTCCTTCAAACGTGTACTTCGATGACACACTTTCGTTTCGTTTTTCATTATTAAGTCCCAATTGTTTCCAGTATTCTATCGTACCAGCAGCGGCCACATGGTGTTGCTGCTGAACCAGAAAACTCCTCCAAGGGAAACATAGCAGGAAAATTAGAGAAACTGATTCAGGGTAGAAATTTTTTTTTATTGTTTCTTTAAAAAAAAAAAACGTTTATTTTAAACAAAAATAACGTGGATGGAAAAATCCCTAATGGCCAATTTGCTCTAAACGTACTTCAAACTAAAAGACCTAAATATCTATCGTGCTCATTTTGCTATGATATTGTAATTCGTATTGCATGTGTTCACGAGGTTTATTCTTCCTGTCGTCGAGTTAAAGGTTACATGACCCAATGTAGTCAAAGTCTGTTCAATTCTGCAATTAGATTTGACAGCTTTATTCAGCAATGAGTTGAGCAATTTAGAGATTTGTTTCCATAATGGAAGCTTTCTTGATAGAGATTTAAATAATCAACAGAATTTAAGACAAGGTCACAAAATGTAGTGCTTGTTCAGGGCGGTTGGACACAAAATATGAAATTGATGTATTTCGCGCCTCAGTTAATCCTGGAGCCTCTACCTCGACTAAAAGACTAACAAACTGTAGCACTTAATTGTACTTATAAATGGCACTTATCTATAGCAAGTTGTACCGCCAAGACAGCGGGGGGTTCGGCACGGTTCCTGATTTCCTGATTAGCTTATTTAATGAAATTGGGTGTTCTTTTGAGTTTGTATCCCTGTGGTTGGGAGCGACGTGGCGCAGGTGAGACGTGAGGGTGTAGAGGGTGCGCTGGGAACCGCAAGGTTGGTGGTTCAAATCTGGGCTGCCCCATGTCGAAGTGTCCCTGAGCAAGACACCTAACCCCGAATTGCTCCCCAGACAAAAATGTAAAATGCCATGGGTTAAAATGTAATGTCGCTTTGGATAAAAGCGTCAGCTAAATGACCTGTAATGTGTACTTTAATACAAAGGAATGATCTAAATAGTTTTAGGTAAGAGGAAACACGTCACACATGTAATCTGTTTATATACAAGTTTTATTTGGAAAATTGCTGTGAAAAAATAGAATTGTATCTCAATCGTGTACCTGATTTTATTCCAGTTTTCAGGGTGAATAAAAAGAAAAGGTTAAACAACTTAAATAACAAAATGATGAGGACGGTCGCTTTACAAAAAATAAAACAATGTACAAAAGAAATAAAAATATATACAAATGTAAACACAGTGTATGTAACACATACAGTGTATTAAAAATATAATACTGAATATTTGCATTGACTGTGCATTGAGATATCTTATCAGAACAGAAAAATGTCCACCGGAAACAATCAACCTCAACTGTAGTTTCTCCCCAGGAATCTTAGAGCAAAAAAATTAGATCATTCCAGATTTAAAATATACGTTTTTTTTGTTGCAGTGTATTTTAAATCATGAAACCTCCTCGACGGTTTGTAAATTAAACGAAATTATGACAGTTAAGTGTGTGATGCATCTGCTGTATTTGAAATTCAGTAAAAAGTCAGACCGAGAGGATTTACAGAGGCGACTGCCCACCACGGTGGCAGGGTGGGTGGGGGGCTTAATGCTGACATCACCCAGTAGGCGGGACTTGTTTGGGAGGTGGTTCCTCGTAGGAAACTCAACATTTTGGGACAATCTCACGGAGAGTAAAGTGAGATGTTTGCCACTCTGCCATCAGCGGTTAGCTTAGCTTAGCATAAAGACGGGGAGTGAAAAACCCTCCCGACTGAAACCATAAAAAGAATTACAGCGCTGTATCTTTCATTTCAAAAAGAAAATCTTTGGAAGCTACCTGGATTGGTCTCCGGTTAGTTTTTAATAATCGTAACGAACGGAACTTGTGACGATCCCTCCCGGCCGACTCCTGGGCTGCAGCTTTCAACCTCAAGGCACTCCGAGAGAAACCACCCGACAGGGGCGGAGGGCTTTACACTGAGCGGCCCCACCCTCCTTGGACAGGAGGAGGCTCTCACAAAAGAAAAAAAAAAAAGTGTTCCGGGCAGCCCGGACGCTGACTAATCAGAGGCTCTGCTGGCTGGAAGAGGAGTCGGGCGTGATGGCGTGGAGCGTGACGCCGTCGGAATCGACCTGCGGCCCCTCACCGCACGTCACCCAGGGGTGCAGGAGAATCTGCTCCAGGGTGGGCCGGTCAGACGGCTGCTGGCTCAGACAGCGGCCAATCAGCTGCTGGCACTCTGTGAGGGGTAGAGAAGAAGACTGTTGATGAGTCTGTGGGCGAGGGAAGACCTTCCCTCCTCCGTGTTGTCACACTCCGACTGACCTGCGGAGATCTCCCGTCTGAAGTAGATCAGTCCTCGCAGGATCTCCTCGTCGTGCTCGAAGGGGATGTCCCCGCACACCATATCGTACAGCAGCACACCGAGAGACCAGACCGTTGCAGAGCGGCCGTGGTACCGACGGCGGCGGATCCACTCCGGTGGACTGTACACCCGCGTGCCTGGAAGGAGGAGTCAGGCGTTACACGCAGTCAATAAGACACCGATGCTGCCGCAGTCGTCCCAGCAACAGCACCACTATACGTATAGTTTGTTAGTGAAAATAAGTAAAAAATAAAAATGTATTATTATATTTTTTAGAAGGTTAGAAAGCGTACGTAAATCAGACTCACCATCGAACTCCGTGTAGGCGCCGTCTTTCAGGAGGGCGCCCGAGCCAAAGTCGATCAGCTGTATCTGTCCGGTCCTCAGGTCCACCAGCAGGTTCTCGTCCTTGATGTCTCGATGAACGACCCCGCAGGCGTAGCAGTGACGTACCGCCTCCAGCACCTGCAGGAAGAAGCCGCGTGCCGCCGCCTCGTCCAGCGCTCCGCGCTCCGTGATGTAGTCGAATAGGTCCTGGCCCGACTCGGGGCGCTCCATCACCATCAGCCAGCCGTCCGCCCGCTCCCACCAGTCCAACAGCCGCACCACGCCGGCAAACGCCCCGCCCACCTTCTTCAGCAGAACCACCTCCAGAGGAACCACGGCGCCGCACTGAGAGACACGGCATAATAAGTCATTTTATAAAAAGAAAATACATTAAAAAGTCTGCAAGTAGTGTGTCAGTGCTCATTCGTGGTAAACGGCTTCAGGTGCTTAGTCAGTAGAGGCGGCCCAATAGTTGTATCCTTTCCTCAACCCCACCATGAAATTTAAATATGTACACATATTATACGCCACAAGGTTACGTTTAAATTATATTTTTTATATGTGCGCCAGGCAAATGGAAATGTCTCCCTGACCACCCGAGGGCATTGGGCTCTTCTAAAAAGGGGCCTAAACGCCTACTTATTCCTCTTTTTTTTCCCCCTTATGTTGTTACTAGCTTTTACTTTATTTTAACCATGTTGTACCCATGTTTTGCTGGCTCTGCACTCAGATGTCAAGAGTGTACAACAACATCTGTGTTATAAATAAAATGTATTATGTTTAAGCTATTAAGAAAAGGGCATTTTCTGTACAGCAATAATACACAATGGTCACATAATGGTGAATGTGCTTTAAAATGGTTATTTAAACAAACTTTAAATGAACATCCAGTGATAGAAGAGCTGAAGTGGATGTTAAACTGACAGGAAGTTGTTAGTCTGCATGTGTAATCTCACCAGAGAGCCCCACTCGGTCACCCGGTCCCTGCTCACATGCTTCACTGCAACCTGCATGTAAACAACACAACAACATAAACTCAGAGCACAAGAACAAAATTTTAAAAGAGACTGGCAAATCTTTAAAAACACACTAACAGCTGCCATAGTAAACACTTCTGTCAACAATTACATAAAGCTTTGTTTTTCTTTATATTGAATGAAAATAAATTTCCCCACCAGTTTCGGGTGATTTCCTTAAATATTGATAATTTCGCAAAATGTAACCCTTTCCGTTTCTAACAGGATTGGTTTCACTACAGGAGGGAGGTAAAGCTGTATATGCCAGTTTCATTGTGACAACAAAGAGCACATGCCATGCAGAACTCTTGGTGAGTCAAGTAAACAGGAGTGAAACCGGAAGTACATGTATTCTAAATAAAAGCACAAAGTAAAACAAAGATGCTCTGGTTGAGACTAGGCTAACCTTGTTTTTACCTTTAGTGTTTAGCAATAATTATATCAAACACAGCATACATCAAGAAATATAGATCAAGGGACAATCTAACACGTTATTTTAAAAGGTCAAAAAAAAATAGATAGCTGACATGTTACTAGGAAAAAGTGATTTACCATCAGCTACAAAAAGGTAAATCACAAGGCTGTTACATTATAAGAGAAAATAACTAACATGAATATCGCAAGTAATGCCGTTTCGAGATGTCAGCTTCAAGTCAACATTGGGCAAAAGTCTTACATGTCCAGAAAATGGTGGTCTGAAACTATCCGCTTAAAAATAAATCTAACATAGCTACTTATTGTCCACGGATTTCTTTTGTCACTTGACAACCTTTCCGGTTCGGACAGATTCTCCCCCTCCCTCCCACGTGTGGCTTTTATTTTGAAGTCATAGACCGGAAGAGGAGCAGACACGGTTACTGGCTTGAAGCGACCATGTGCCGGGACCAAAACAAAGCAGCCCTCTCCTCCTCCTCCTCCTCCTCCTCTTACCGGCAGCCCGTCGGCGAGGCGGACAGCCGAGTAGACCGTGCCGAACCCCCCGCTGCCGAGCACCGAGCCCACTCGGTAGAGCTTCTCGAACGGCTGCTTCTCCGCTTTGGCTGAAAAACAAAATAAAAACACTAAATTATGAATCCGGACTTTACTTCATGTGATCGCGGAGAGTTGCGCCAAAATATTTACCCGCCCCCTCGCTATAAAAAAAACAAGAAAAACGTTAGTGTTTACTACTAACTAATACAACCGCAGCATTTTTTAATACGTCACCGATTGCATATTTTAAATGAGTGATACACTCGACGACACCGCCGAACGTCCTCAGATGACCCCCGTTGTTTTGGATCGTTTAAAAATGGCGGCCTGTCGGCATAGTCTCCATTATCGTCGTTCAAACGATGTAACCTGTGGGATTTATGTTCTAATAAACACGAGGACTGAGGGTGTGACGATATAATTGCTTTACCGAGAGAACTAACATATTGGCCTCACACAATGTTTTCAAAATGGCCCCGGACGGTTTTATTGTAAGGTCACTGAAGCACACACCGACGAATTGGTTTAACACGTGAATTTAAATTAGAATTTAGATTTATTCTTTATTTTATATTTATTTAAAGTCGACCTCTACTGTATGAATAAACCATGCCAAGATGCCACCGGCTGATTTAACTTGAACATATTTTGAATTCCAGCTCGGTCTTTAGAGGAACACACCTAACGTTACCGGTTATTTACAACAACGCCGGCTGGAGAGCAGCCTTACCTTGCTGGAGCTTCACCGGCAGATCCATGCTGGACGAGATGTGAGGGAAGGAGCCCAGTTTGGACAGCAGCATGCTGCTCTGAGCTCCTCCACGACAAATTAAAAATACACCGGGCAACGTGCTGCTGCTGCTTCTGCTTCTTCTTCTTCTTCTTCTTCTTCAGGAGAAAAACGTGACGGCTCCACGGCACCGGTAATCCGGTCGGGACCAGTGGGAGGGAAGCGCGCGACTGGCCACTGCGCGGTTGAAAATATTTACAAAGATCAGACAGATCCTTCCGCTCACTGAAACCTTAAAATAGACCAAAGAACCATCTGCTTCAGAAGCAGAACTTCCACATGTATGTAATGTGTAACGTGCGGTATCGCCTCGTGGTGGGATTAAAGCTGGTGACCCGAAGCCAATGCTAAGGCAGTCGGACTACTTTTACGTAGTAGGACAGGCGCAGGAATTCAGAGCAGTGCTGCGGCCCACAGCAGAGACTTGGAGCGATGTTTCAAAATACGCATTTTAAAAACCTTATTTAAAATTCATTTTTTCAACATTTTTCATAAGATTAATAACGTAAATGATATAAATGTGTGATACTATTATAAATAACTCATTTAGAAACATACATTTATACGACTTCTCATTGTTTACATTCAGGTGAAGCCTGGCCCATCTGCAGTGATTTCCTACATTTCCCAGAATGCACCTCAAAAACATTCCAGTCACCCGCACAAGACAAAGTAAAATGCGTAGCTGTCCATATCATCGCCCACGTGCCCCTGCAATGTCTCCCAGTTATTATTATTGTGTCTTTTGCGAATAAAACCATACTTATGCTAAAAATACTCCGTGTGAGCCCATTTTGATGTCTAAAACTGCATTAATCGTTTTTATTCTGTTGGGGGGAAACTTGGAGGCGGCACATAAAGTAACAGGATGTAACGTCTTTGTGTTGCCAAACAAATGGAAGTCCAGTATTCTCTAGCTTTTTTTTGGTCTCCTCCACCAGCTGCTAAAACCTCTGTTAAGTTCCCCAAATCGTCTCTGACTCTGTTTGTCTGCAGATTGTGAAAAGTTAAAAACATTATTGCGCATTTGTCCGTGCTAATAGAGTTTAATTCAGTGGCGTTTCCCACGATAAGCTCTACCTGCCCACAAAGAGGCAGTTGTCGGGTCACATGACCTGGTGTATCACTGCCCAACAGAGGCCCAAATGTAGGTCGACCCCTCCTCCGTTTTACTGTAAGTTGAATGTGAAGATACACATGGACAGATGTGAAGATGCAAACAAAGAGCTGCTGTTGTTTTTCAAACTGTTGTGAGCTCAAAGCCTCTCACAGAATTAGACGTCACTTTAATCGGACGGAAGCCAGTCTGTTTATCATCCACTGTAACGACATCGTATTGTTTGTACTAATCTGATGTTTTTATGTTGAGACTCAGTTTGGACAGAGCACAGCTAACTGTACCCCTGGTTTCTATTCTTGTTGCTGGGCTATGCTAACAGGCTGTTGGATCCTAATGTTACCCGCACAGACACAACAGTGGTTTCAATTCTCTTCCAACTCTCCACGAGAAAGCAAATCATTGAACGCACTGGTTTTCATTTAACTTCATGATTGATGTTATCAAAGTCGTCCAACTTCCTTTTTTTCTGTCTCTGCAAGAAACACATTAAAGTAGTTTGTCTTTAATCCTTTAAAATTTTTGAATCTTTGAATTTTGTTTAGATGTTGATACCCAAAGGTTTTCTTCACAGCTGTTGTATTTTGGGTAAAAGCAAACTGTCCCCAAACAGTCCCCGACCTTCACATGTTGCCCGCGACATGAAATGTGATTCAGGTCATTTGTTCTCCTCTATTTTTATCTGCTTCTATTTTTAAAAGCCGTGAGGGCTTAGAGTCACTTCTCTCCAGGACTTTTGGAAACGCTTCAGCCTTCTCGTTTGGTGGGTCGTATTTTCTCCAACGTTCTACGCCAGAGGACCACGATGTCGGCAGACGACGTCGGCAAAGACGAAAGCCGCAGCTCCTCGGCTAAGCTAACCATCGTGGTCGGAGGCGTTCGCTTCTCAGAGGACAAGGCCTTCCTGATTCAGAACTGCGGCTATTTCCGATCGCTGTATCGCTCCGGGATGAAGGAGTGCCGACAGGAGGAGATCCACCTCCAGTCTCTGCGCGCTCGAGGCTTCCTTGTCTCCCTGGCCGTGCTGCGCGGCGAGAGTCCCGACCTGGACGGCGACGACATCGTGGAGGCCATCGAATGCGCCGCTTTCTTGCAGGCAGCGCCGCTGGCTGAGCACCTCGCCGGCCTCGTCGACTCGGACAACTGCCTGCTGATGTATCACACCGCCGCGACCTTCGGCCTCTCGGACCTGTACCACGCCGCCGCGCTGTTCATCCGAGACATGTACGCCGACCTGCGGGCGGAGGTCAGGACGTCCCTGGCGCCGGAGCTGGTCTCCTACGTGGAGTCGTTGACCCCGAGGGTTTTCGCGGCCGTGGGCACTCACGTGACCTGCGGCGAGGAGGAAACGGTGCACGCCGCCTCCAGGACGGTTTGCTACCTGGACGAAAGCGCCAACGCTTGGAAAGTGCTGACGGATCTCCCGCCGGGGGCCAGCACCTCCCTGGGTGGAGTGACCGTTTTAGACAACCGGCTGTACATCGTCGGGGGGGTTCACGGACCCCACAAACAAGTGGTGGACTCTTCTTTCTGCTACAGCGTGGAAAACAACAGCTGGAGCCGGATCCCCGGCCCGGCTCAGCCGCGATACAACCTCAGCCTGGTGGGCGCGGCCGGTCGCCTCTACGCCCTCGGGGGAGAGTACGAGCGGACGCCGATGTCGTCCGTGGAGACGTACGATGTGGAGGCCGGGAGGTGGGCGCATGCCGCTCACTTGCCACGCCCTGCGGCGGGAGCGGCGTGCGCCAAAGCGGGGAGCAGGATGTTCGTGTGCCTGTGGAGGCCGATGGAGACCACAGAGATCTACGAGTACGTCTCCGGGTCGGACGAGTGGCGGCTGATCACCACACTGATCCGGCGGCAGAGCTACGGCCACTGCTTGGTCGGCCACAGGGACGACCTTTACGTGGTGAGGAACGGGCCCTCGGACGACTTCCTGCGCTGCCTCGTGGACTGCTACAACCTGACCTCGGGCCAGTGGTCGTCTCTGCCCGGACACTTCGCCAACAGCCGTGGCTCGCTGTTCACGGCGGTGGTGAGGGGGGACTCGGTGCTCACGCTCAATAGGAGCGCCACCATGGAGTTCGCCGTCGGCGGGAAAACCTGGAAGCCCCGGCGGCAGATGAAAGGCTTCCCCAGGAGCGGATCCGTATGGACGTTTCTGCTCCGGCTGCCGGACGCCATCACGCTGCGGTGACGGCTTTCCCCGTCCAACATTCCATGTCGTGGATGCGCTTTGTTGTTTCTTTTGTACTTCTTAACAGTAATTATATATTTTTTGAGATCACAGCAACAAAGCGGCACAAATAAAATCTGTTCCCCCGGCGGGATGTGTTTCTTGTTGTGCTTCCCTTTGAGGGTTCTAGTTGAATTAAGGCTCGGTTTAAGTGGAGGTGAAGGGAAATACAAAATGATCAGGAAAGAGACTCGGTCGTTAACTCTTGTCTACATGTGACGTGACGCGTTTTGGTTCAACTGCACCTCCGTTGGCTCAGATGCTGACCTCTGACCTCTGATCAGGACCACTGGACGTATGGATTGATTGGAAGAGATAAAGATACATTATTAAGGTCTATGAGCCAATGCGCCCCATCGCCCCTCATTCTTATCATACATCATTTATAGTTGTTTACCCTTTTTTAAAGATGTTTTTGCATCTGTTTGTTGTCGCATGTGTGAAGTTAGTATTGTCCTTTTTTGTTAATTTTGATATTGTACATGATGGCCAGTGAAAAATAAATCATTTAACGGAGGTTTTCAGCGACTGAACAGACTTGATGATATTATCTGTGCGACTTTATTTCCTCCGTGATGGTCACGATCTGTTTAATAAATGGCGCAGTGTTTGTCCTCACACAGAGCTTCTGTTTCCTGCGCAGCCTCTGCTTCCTGTTGGCACCGAGCGACGATGATGATGATGATGATGGAGGTCAACGACGGGCAGAGCCAGGCACCGCGGGCCGGGCCGGACGCCAGCAGCTGGCGGCGAGGGGGCCGAGGTCAGGCCAGGACGCGACGACCAGGCCGACACCCAATAGTCGCGTTATTAGGAAAACACAAGAAGATCTGAGGCTGCAGAATCATCCATTAAATCAAAACTTATCTTTCAAAAGTCATAATAATGCATCTACCTTTTTTTGTGTCCAAAATGTTTCATAATGATAATATTAAAAATGATATTGTTATCACTAGTATGATGTATTGATTACAATGAAAAAAGAAAAATTATATGTGTTCATAAATTAAATCATAATGAACTGAAACAAATACAAAGGCAGCTACAACAAGACAGGAGATATTTATTCTATTTGAGAGGGTTATTTGTATTTCAGTCCAGGGCCTCTCGGGTCCACAAAGTTCTACTCACACCTCAAAAGTCGGATGCTGACAAAAATTCCTCACAGGAAGTAGGGTGATGATTTTCTCCTTCATTTTTTTCCTTCAGGCGAGAGCGTATATGTTTTGGGTGACACGCGCGTTACGATCTGTGTGTTTTCGTCCAACGAGTGCTGCAGAGGATCCAGGTCAGTGTAAACACGGCCTTCACACGCACGCACACACAGACACACACACAGTGGTGCCGTTGACCCCGGGGTGGCCGCTGGTTGTCATGGTATCTCAGGCATTCCCTCGACCGTTACCTCATGTTGAGATGCTGTCACAGTGGAACAAGAATCCATTCAAAATATTATTCAATCTGCATTTAGCCCGAAAATACCAAACACCCTCACGTGTGCCTTCATGTCACGAGACAAAAGGAACCTGTTGAAAACATCTTAACTTATAAAGCCCCATCTTAAAGTGAAACACAAAGTATAATCATTAATTATTATTAATATATTATATATATATATATTATATATTATATATTTAGACATGGGTTTCAAACCCTTTAATAAATAATAGTTTTTGAAATAAATATCTAAGGAGGTATGAGACTTTTTGTTCCTTGTGTTTAAAATCAGTTTGACGCATTCCGATAATAAACAGATAATATATGTTCAAATAACATATATGATTTTTATAGCCTGATTTATCAAACTAAGAACGTTCGAGTATGAATTAAGAGGTGCTCTATTTAATTATATGTTTTACCTCAGTAAAATAGTTTTTTTCCTCTACATTACTGTAATCATGCATCACTCCTCTAAAATATTATTATATATTTTCATCAAAATATGCATTAGTTGGAATTTCAAGGAAATTAGGGGATTCAATGTCATAATGTTTTGTACATGGTCAAGAAATATAATGAAATATCCGACTGAAGGAAAGGGATGTGCTGATGTGTACATGCGGGACTTCATAACAGCCAATTAAGTTTAAAACTAAAGGTTTCAGCAGTTTTCCCGACCCCTCCACTCGTGCAAAACCACAATGTTAAGTTGTGTGTGTGCATTTGTTCCCATTGTTTGTTGTACCTTTCTCAGCAGATTAGAATTTGTTCTGCTGCTGGTGCGCACGCTCCTAAAGGGTTATTGATCTCATTGATTGGAAAAGTATTGGCTTTTTTGGTGCAGAAAACTAGATGAAAAGGTCAATATCACTGTTGCGTCTGTTAAATTATTCATTATGAATTAATTAGGCTACAGCGAGCAGATGGGTACCTCAGGTAACTATGGTTAGCTTAGCACAAAAGCAGGGGAACCAGCCCTGTATCCTAAAGATTACGTTTATTTGTCATTGTTTCATTCAAATTTGTATTTGTTTAAGCGTATTAACATTTAACAATGATTCAAAAGATTTTGAAAAAAAAAAAAGAAAATATAATGGAAACAGAAAAATTATACATGTTCATAAATAAATAAATAAGAGTAAATTAAATCAAAAATAACTAAAACAAATACAACCCCCTAAGGCAGCTTCAAGACAGGAGATGTTTATTTTATTTGAGAAAGGATTTATTTAAATAATTCTGTAACATGAGCCCGGTATAATCATTTACATCCCCTCTGAAAAACAACAACAACCTCTTTTTGTTAATATTGTCCCGAGGATTTCTTTCACATCGTTGTGTTGGTTCGCTCCATGAAGCTCTTTTGTGACCCATCGTGATGAAGTCTTTAAGAAAATAAAAGGTTGTTATCACTTCAGGTTTGGGGGTCCACACTATTTTGGCAGCTGGGGAATTATCTTCCAAGGGTTGAAGTCAAAGTAACGGATAATTTGGAAAATGATGGAAAGTACCAAATCATTTTCCTAAAACATGCACAACTGAAATAAAAATGTTCCAACTAAAACACACACACGCGACCTCGGTCCTGATGGAGACATGTGTCTCCCTCCTTTGTGCCTCTTTGTTGTGGATGAGACCCCCTCCCCCCTCTACACCCCTAACCTCCACCAGCCCCCCCTCCCAGAAACTCCAGACAATGATGTATGAAACTCATGAATATTAAATGTACCAACACATTTTAAAGCAGCTGACTGTTGCAGTCTGCTTCCCCTTAACTAATCTCAGGGATGTGTGTGTGTGCGCGTGACAGCTGGGGAGGCGGCGAGGGGGCGTTGCTTGCTGGCTGACCTTTGACCTCTTAACTCGTCTCAATATGTTTTCTTGCACGTTGTATTTGTTATTAGCATGATTAGCGTCATAGCATCCAGGAGGCCGCTGGCTGAGCGCGTCGTGTTTTAAAGGATCTACAGAGAAGAAGACAGGGACAAGAAGACGTACAATAAAAGACGTGAAGAAGAACCTTGGTTTGTGTTATCTGGCGATATTGACTAAACACTATTGTAAAATCGGTTTGTACAAATACAGGCTACTCATTTCCATGTGGATGCTCCAATCTACTTAAGTGGGTTTAAAAGTCTCATCAAAATCTCCTGGTACGAAATTAACTTGAACTGAAATCGATGAAACTGCCTTTTAACTAATATTAAAAAATAATGCTTTTTTCCACACAGACAGTTCTAAATGTTTATTTCTCTTCATCCAATGTTCCAAACTGGGCAGCATTTGTCATTATGTAAATAAGGCAGCATCACATCTTATTGAGAATAACAAAATGACAATCAGCTTCACATCATTTTTTACAAAAAAAAAGCTTGGTTATTAGATAAACACATTTCTACAATAACGTCAAAAGGTTTGAGAAAAAGTGATCTATGAGGAGGTGTCAATAAGAAGGTTGTGTGAATTGTTCCTTTTAGAGACAGAAAAGCAGAGGAACGCTGGTACCTGTCAGAGGGGCCCCGAGGGACAGATGGAAGACAACCGGCCCACTTTGGGAACAGCAACTCCCCCTCATTCTCTCCAGAGGTCAAAGGTCAGAAGGCACCAGGGTCCTCTGGAGACGGGAGTATAACCGTGCTTTCATTCGTGCATCACAGAATTGAGTGTTATCTTTTGTTTGGATTTGTCTGATTATTAATTTGTCTTTTTGTTGATTGTTAATTATTCTTATTTCTGGATTTCCAAGTTAAATAGAAAGTCTTTCCATTCGTTTTTTTGTATCTGTCAATCGCCAGTTATGGACCCATGATAACTACAGCTTATATAGATTATGTCATATATAAACAGATGCTGTTATAGGATCCACTAAAACAGTCCAAAATAAAGATTATTGGATCATCAAACAAATGTTTTGATGAAAAAACCCAATCATTTCTGCAATATGAGGAACCAACATCGCATCGTTGTCAAAATGTTTTTTGTTTCCATAAGTTGACGTAATTCATATTAATCATTAAAGCAGGATCAGAGATTCCTTCTTTATTTGCATGTCTTGTCTTCCTTGTCAGATCCCGGGGACTACATTACCCAAGATGCAACCGGCGGCGGCTGGGAAGGACGAGAGAGAGATTCCGGTAAGTTTTGTTACTAGCCTTCGACTAGCCTTTAGCTTGGCATTGCATCATTAAAGAGACGATGAGCGGGCTGTGGCGGCCTAGAACACTTTATTTCCTAATTGAATTATTTAAAAACGTACAGACTGGAGTACCGGCAGCGCAGCCAGAATGAAGCCTCGCCTTCGACAGGTCGGCGGTCTTGCGGCTCGAAGGCGCCATCTTGTGTCCTGCGTATGTTCCCGCAGCGGTGTATGTCGTCGTGGGGGAGATACGGGAGGCCAAAGTCCACCCGAGAAGAGGAGCTCGGTGGTTCGATGCTTACGGATTCACTCAAGCCGCTTCGCCTGCGGACTCCCGAGCGGGTTGAACACCGACCGACACGAGACGAGGAAGCCCCGAGGTGTGCGCTCCGTGAGCGCTGTTTACGGTAAAGACGCCATGTTTTCAGGGCCGCAAAAAGTTTGCAGGACCTTTTGGGATGATTTGATCCCGATAATTCAAAAGTTAGCTGGTAAATGTCGGTGGAATGGAACGTTAACTCCGTCAGTTGCATTCGACCTAATCACGTGACGTTCTGTCAGTGTTGATAACGTCACTTAGGTAAACTTATCAATATCAAAATGATTGTTATTTTTTGTTTAAATGTCGTAAAACGTCCTGTAGATGAACCGCGTATTTGTACTTTGGCACAACGTACAGTTCCATCACGTTTGTTTGTTTGCTTATACTTTGTCCCCATGTGCTGTTACAGGACATTCACATCTCTTAATATGTTGCCTTGACCAGTCTGCACAAAAACATTAACTCTAAAAAAGTGATTTACACATTATAGTATTTGATAATAATGAAGAGAAACAACGCTTCACCTCTTAAAACAATGTGTTTTCACTTCATCAAAGTTAATTTGAACCTTGTTGACTTGAATTAACAGATATCAAAGGGCACAGTAGTTCTTCTTTTGCTGTTGACCACGTGCTTTTTATTTCCGATCGTCCATCGTGACCCAACCGTCTCTCTGCACTGGTAGACTGTACCGTAGAAAGGAATCTCCTTCCATAAAATGCATGGGCCTACTTTTTGTCCCTACATAATAGATAACCAAAAACTGTTAAATTATATTTATCAGTTAACTGAATTCACCGTCCTTCATTATTATAAAGTAGTTTCCTCTCTTCGGTCCTTTTCTTGTTTCATGAGTGCGTTGTGTTGGTCCTTGCTGCGCTCAGGTCAGGATGGACAGGAAGCAGTGCTGCGTGAAGCTCTCGGTCCAGCCGTCCAGAGGACTCATGGACGAGAAGTTTCTCGTCCTGGTCCAGAGCGTCCTCCCTGGTTTCCAGCTGACCGTCTACGCCTCCTACAGGTGTGATGATGGTCACAGCTGGGAGGCGTTCGCTCACTACACCGCCAACGCCAGCGGGACTGTGAACGGTATGTTGTTCATGGACAGTTTGGGAAAATGGGAATTATTCACTGACAGTTAACCTAATTTAAAACTGGTCAATTGACTTAAAATGTAGAATAACGTTCATACCCTTTACAGTTTCAGAGGATCACAGTCTGGGGGGGACATATTGTGGGGTTGAACCGATGGGCCTCATGTGGAGCCTCAGACCAGTTCCAGGAAGCAAACCTGGACTCCGGTAGTAACAAGGATTCATGTGATCAGATGAAACTAATCAACACTGAACCAGGATCAGTCAACTCTTCCCCTTCATCCCCCAGGATGAGGAAGATGAACGTCCTGACTCCCATGGAGGTCACAATCTCGGTGTACCGGGGCCACCTGACGGAGGGCTTCGTGGACCAGGTGCCGTTGGCCGCCGTGGTGGTGGAGCGCTGGTACATGGCCCCCGGCGTCCGCAGGGTCCCGGTTACGGAGGGGGGACTCACAGCGACCCTCTTCCTCCCCTCAGGTAGGACCAGAGCGGAGTGGGGGCGGTGCCCTCTGGACAGAGCTGTGTTGTGTAAGGGTTCGTTTAGGTCGTGGAGGTGTGGGTCACATGAAGGCGGGACGATGACTAAGCTGTCGGCGTATTGTCTCGTCTGAAGGACCGGGCCCGTTTCCCGGCCTCCTGGACCTGTGGGGGGGTGGAGGGAAGTTGGTGGAGTATCGGGCAGCACTGCTGGCCTCCCACGGCATCGCCTCCCTGGCCCTTGACTACCTGACCCCCCAAATCACCAAAGAAAATGGCAAGATGGTGGATAACAATTATTTTGAGGTAAGTGATGCAAATCACGTTGATTCAGATGTTTCGGTTTTGTTTTACAATGAATGGACCAACGTTGTCCCACGTGTCTCCCTGCTGCAGGCGGCCTACAGATTCCTGGAGCAGCACCCTCAGGTCATCGACAGCAGGATCGGCATCTTGGGACTTTCCTTCGGCACCAGCATCGCGTTAAAAATGGCGGTTTACTCCCAAGTTTTTAAGGTAAGGCGGCTCGACACCCACCTGTCACTCAAAGGCTTCTTTCTCAGTACATCGTCTACACTTCGAAACCTGTATTGACTCTTAGTATATTTTTAACGGTGAGTTGTATAAAGTTCAGCCCCTCTGAAGTGGTCGGGGTTTATTTATGGAGACCCAAAGAGTCTCTTGAACCAGGAAATAAACATATTTACTTCTGCTTAAAATTGGACGTTTAAACTTTGAGTCTAAGGAGATGGACTCGCTTTAGGAGACCAGTTGACCTCTGTGAGACTTATTGTATAGTTTGTGTCCATCATGTGTGTGTCTCCCAGCTCAGGTGTGTAGTGTGTATCAGTGGGAGTCATGTGCAGCCGATCAAAGGATCTGTGGAACAAATAATGACTTCATTTCACAAGTGAGTGGATCTGACTACACGTTCAGATTGTCCTTAAATGTGCTGATGACTTTCCTGCTCCCCAGAGGATGAACCGTAGATTCTAATGGCGCTGTTATCTCTCCTGGAGAAACTTTGATCCCTCTACGACTTGTTTTTGTCTTATCAGTAACGTCGATAAGACTCGCTTCAACGAGGAACAACAAGTGATCTGGAGAGATCTGCTGCTGCCCATCCCCACCGACCCCTCCCTCAAAGTGGAAGTCAGTAAGGAGGACGGAAGCCCTCCGCCTTTTATTCTAACTGGTCACTTATGAATTCTTTTTCAACCGTTTTCTATCTGAAATGGGTTTTATAAAAATGTATTTAATTGTATAATATTTCCCAGCAAAAACTCAAACGCATGCGTTGGCACGAGCCACAGAAAACATTTGTGGACTTTATTGTGCCAGATTAGGAGTTGTTATAAACATTTTATACTACAAAGAGGTTTTGCTTTCTGTCAATGGATATGACAGTTTTCGTAGTCTGTGGTGTTTGATACCAAATTTGAAACCATCTTTTTCCTCCACGCTGCTCTCGGCCTGAAGTGAATTCTTTGTGAATGGATTCCCGCCCTCAGGAAGGTCTCAAGCATCCACAGGTAAACAGTTCCCAGGTGACGAGCTGAAGCCCGGCTGCTGTTTGTCTCTGAGCAGGTGGGACGTCTCAGGTGTCCTCTGCTGATGGTCGTGGGCGAGGACGATCAGAACTGGCCCGCCCACGAGTCCGCTGTGGACGTGAGTTCATCGTCATGACAACATCCTCCACCTGTCTGTAGGTATGCGTGAACTCTACATGCAGTTATCCGTATCTACCAACATCCTGTTGTGCAGGTGAAGGAGATGATGCAGCGGGCCGGCAACGACCACCTGCTGACTGTCCTGTCGTACCCCAGCGCAGGTCACCTGATAGAACCTCCCTTCACGCCGTTTGCCCGAGCCAGCAGCTACAAAATCCTGGGCCCCCCCCTTCAGATGGGTAGGTGCACCTTCAGGGTTCGTGTGTAGTGGTACATTACGACCTTAAAGGCCTGGCTTTAGATTGGCTCAAGTGAGCGAGGATGCTAAGCTAAAGGCGGTTAGCCAGCGGCCATCAGAGCAGAACACAAAGTGCTCGGTTATCTTGGATATTTGGAATGTGGATTGTGTGTTTTAACGGCCGATACGCCTCTCGTCTTCCAGTGATGGTTCTGTGGGGCGGAGAGACGGTGGCACATTCCCGCGCTCAGGAGGACGCCTGGAGGAAGACGCTGGTCTTTTTGAGGGAGAATCTGTACAGAGCTACTTCCTCCTCCCACCTGTAACCAAGTTGGCACCTTTTGATTCTAGAGTTTCTCCCTCTCCTGGTCAGGATGCACTGATCGACTTCATTGCTTCTCATAGATGATGTTAAGTGGACACGCTTTGATTGACGTGAAATGTCCTTTAGATTCAGTACAAAAGATGAATAACTACTGTATATAGTGCTTTAAGAGGATTAAACCAAAGTACAAAGTACAGATGTATTTCATTCATAGAATATTGTCCAGAGGTTTGGAGTTGCTCTTTTCACTCTTGCTGTTTTCCTGCTGAGACTCAATGTTCTTACTCTACTTGCTTACTTATTTGCTGTTTTGGAATAAAGCCTCCAGACAGCAAGAAGACGGAGTTTATGAAAATTCTTGATTAAAAAAGACAGGAAACCATTTATTTTATTCTCTATTGTGTCATGTTGTAGCATCATTACATTAATAACATGACACGCTCTTGTCTACATTTACTGATTATTGCTTAAAAACCCTCTGCATCATTCTACAGCAGTCCAAACCCAATAAACACATTCTGCAAGGATTATTATTTGTATGAGTGCATTTGATAATATAATCTCTGCATGTGGAGGAGATAATGTGAGATTCTTAGTCAGTGTGCACCTCTGTGTGTACCACATTAGTCTGCAACTATAACTTCTATAGAAAACGGCTTCAGAATTCTTTAGTCCTCTATCTTTTGAAAAAGATTATGTCTGACCTGTAAAATAAGAGAATACATTTATACATATTTTCAGTCATATCTGACTGGTCTTAACCGGAGTTTGCGTGAAAAATCGAACCTCATCAATTGTCAGTGAGAAGAAACATCAGGCGGACTCTGAGCTTTGTAGGGTCAATAAACTCATCAAAGGTTCATCCAAGTGGCTTCATCAGTGGCTGCAGAACCTGCACTGGATAATGGCAAATCCGATCTGAGCTTGTGGATCCGCCTCCTCTGCTCGGTCTGCTTTGCCTCAATTCATACATACGAGTACTTGGTGAGAAACTTAACGTTTGAGAGTACTACTTTCCAGAGTAACTTAATTACTTTTGACTTAATTACAGTAACTGGTAAGTAATTCAATTACCTTTAAAAGAAGTAACTAGTCATTGTAACTAATTACCATTTGTCAGTAACTTGCCCAACACTGGTCTTTAGTGATCCAAGTGCTTCTACTTCAGAGGGGGAGCTGAGTACTTCCTCCACCCTCCCTCCCTGAGAGGAGGAGGAAGGTAAAGTAAAGTTGGTGTGAGTGACGCAGAGCTGCAGTCCAGACGAGTCTCTCTGTTTCTCTCTAAAGAAACAACTGAATCCAGCAGATTTTCATCAACAACACAAGAGGATCTCTGACAAACTCTGGTGAGTACGCTGCTCTACAAAGACTAGATACATGAACTAAACATCTGCTCCCAGTTTAGTTCAGACCACAATCTGACTGTTGGACGTCTGCTTTTATCACATGAAGAATATTAAGGATAATAAGAAATGTCTTATTTTAGATAAAGCATCAGAGGTAGAAACCAAACACAGAGACTGAACTCTGGATAGTTAAAGTGAGACTGAACAGTCACAGCTAGCGTTAGCTTCAGCTAACTCACACCCCTGTTTCCTGGTTGTAATAAATAACAAAATACCTCAAAACTGGTTGAACTTGAAACCTCAGTTCTCAAAATTTCAGACAATTCCACTGAGGGTAAACGTTTGGCTGAGCGCCATCGTCGGTTCCATGTAAATACTAGTGCTGGGCACTAGTTCATAATGCTTTCTCACTGACTCAATCGCAGACCCGGTTGAAAAAACAACAGAAACAAATTCATTTTTATTTTTCAAAACAGAATTCGCAAAAAATCCAAAACAGAGTTAAAAAAGGGCAAAACACAGCAGATCCAAGTCTTTAGCTATTAAATACTCAACACATGTCAGTTCAGGCATAGATCCATCACCAACTGAATAACAATCCGATAGGGGACTACAGGAAGACACACCAATATATAGAGGGGTCGATGTGGCGCAGGGGTAGAGAGGGTGCACCGGGAGCTGCAGGGTTGGCGGTTCGAGCCCTGGCTGTTGAAGTGACCCTGAGCAAGACACCCAACCCCTAATTGCTCCCTGGGCCAAAATGTAACGGCCACTGCTTCTTGATGTTTATAAGAAGCAGGACTTGGAGGGCTTTAGGACCCAGAGAAACGAGCTGTGTGACCTCTCCATGTCCACATGTACGTCAAGAGAATATAAAACCAACTGGCTGTAACTGTAGGATCGTCTCCATGACGATACAAACAGCAGTAATGTGGTTTCTACGGTACTTAGTGTCGGACTCTCGTAGACCAAAATGGTTCTACTAAGCATTATTTAATTTGTAAAAAAAATAATCAAAAGGTATGTAATAACCTTCTTGTTTCTCCACACTTGTTGTCCTCAGAGTGTCGATATGTCTGCTGCCAGCTGTCTGCTGACTGAAGATCAGTTCCTGTGCTCCATCTGTCTGGACGTGTTCACTCATCCAGTCACCATACCATGTGGACACAACTTCTGTAAAGCCTGCATCACTGACCACTGGAACGTTAATGCCCCGTCTAACTGTCCCAACTGTAAAAAGCTTTTCTACACCAGACCTGAGCTGCAGGTCAACACGTTTATCTCTGAGATGGCTGCTCAGTTCAGACTGTCAGCTCAACAGAAAGCCAGCAGCAGCAGCTCAGAGCAACAAGCTGCCCAACCAGGAGAAGTTCCCTGTGACGCCTGCACTGGAACCAAGGTGAAGGCCCTCAAGTCCTGCCTGGTGTGTCTGGTCTCCTACTGTGAGGCTCACCTGGAGCCTCATCTGACTACGTCAGGTCTGAAGAGACATCAGCTGATGGACCCTGTGGAGAACCTGGAAGGCAGGATGTGTACGAAGCACAATAAACTGCTGAAGATGTTCTGTAAGACCGACCAGATGTGTGTCTGCATGCTCTGCACTGTTTTAGACCACAAGAACCACGAGTATGTTCCTCTGAGAGAAGAATATGAAGGAAAGAAGGCCGAGCTGGGGAAGACTGAGGCTGAAGTCCAGCAGATGATCCAGAAGAGACGGCTGAAGATTCAGGAGATCAAACACTCATTGGAGCTCAGTGAGGAAGCAGCAGACAGAGAGGTAGCAGAAGGTGTCCTGGTCTTCAGCGCTCTGAAGGAGTCTGTTGAGAGAAGCCAGGCGGAGCTCATCGACACCATCAAAGAGAAGCAGAGAAAGACACAGAAACAGGCTGAAGGCTTCATCAAAGAGCTGGAACAGGAGATCTCTGAGCTGAAGAAGAGAAGCACTGAGGTGGAGCAGCTCTCACACTCTGAAGACCCTCTCCACCTCCTCCAGAGCTTCAGGACCCTGAACACTGCTCCACCCACCAAGGACTGGACAGGAGTCAAAGTCAGTGCACCTTCATATGAGGGGACTGTGGTGAGAGCTGTGCATCAGCTGGAGAAGAAGCTCAGTAAACAGATGAAGAAGCTGCTGGAGGTCGAGCTGAAGAGAGTCCAGCAGTCTGCAGTGGATGTGACACTTGATCCTGATACAGCACATCCTAAACTCATCCTGTCTGATGATGGAAAACAAGTTAAACATGGAGATGTAAGAAAGAATCTCCCAGACAATCCAGAGAGATTTAATCAGTGTGTTCTTGTTTTAGGAAAGCAGAGTTTCTCTTCAGGTAGATTTTACTACGAGGTTCAGGTTAAAGGGAAGACTGACTGGGATTTAGGAGTGGTGAGAGAGTCCATCAACAGGAAGGGAGACATCTTAATGTCTCCTCAGAATGGTTACTGGACGATATGTTTGAGGAATGAGAATAAGTACTCTGCTTTTGTTAGACCATCAGTCGATCTCTCTCTGGAGTCCTGGCCTGAGAAGGTGGGGGTGTTTGTGGATTATGAGGAGGGTCTGGTCTCCTTTTATGACGTTGGTGCTGCAGCTCTGATCTACTCCTTTACTGACTGCTGCTTCACTGAGAAACTCTACCCATACTTTAGTCCAAGTCTTAATTATAAGGGTACAAACTCTGCTCCTCTGATCATCTCTGCTGTCAATCACACTGAGTAGAACAAACATCTGTTCTTAAGAGATTCTTTCATAGAACTTAATAACTGCATAATCCGACTTTTGTCACAAATAAGAAGCATTCTTCAAATCCTTATGTTGGTGACAGATTATATGTTTTATTTTCTTATTATTGGATATAAAACACATTATGAATATTAGTACAAATTATTGGAAAAAGTAATGTTTAAAAAGTAAAAAGTAATGTTAAAAGTAATTTAAAAAACAAGGTTTCAGGGAATTTTGTTTTTCATCATTTTCAAATTAAGGGATCTCAGTCTGGTTTGTTTTCTGGGGTGAATTAAAGATGACTTTTTTTCTTATTGGTAAATAATAAATAAAAAGAATCTGATGATGAAACATTCAGCTTCAGTGACCAGAGAACGAACAATTTGTTGGGTCTGTCTGTGTTTTTTTTTTTTTCTCCCCCCTGGTTGTCAGCTGGTCTAGATGAGATTGTCAAGCAATTCCTGCCAACTGCTGCTGATCTTCGTGATTGCCTCCACTCACCTCCAGTATTTAAACCAGTCTGACCTTCCAGTCTTCGCCAGTTCGTCAGTTACTCTTGTGGTAATCAGTTTCCCGGCTGCTGTTTTTCCGAATAGTATTTTGGTTGCGTAAGATTAGTACTGGTATTGCTGTCCAGGATTTACCTCCCCGCCGTTTGCTTCTTCCCCAGTTTCTCTGTGTCCTGCTCCTCCGCCTTGACCAACTCTTCTCCCTGCCTCGCCAGTTCCCGTCCGGAGCTCTAGCATCCAGCCTCCCCAATATCAAACTTCATCAACCTGTTTAAATAAACTGCTCTACTGAAGTGGTCTGCCTAGTGGATCCAGTTCTTTGAAAGAAACCCAACACAATTGTTCTTTCATTATTTGATTTCTCCTCCTCTCTGCAGACGCTTTTCAACCAACAAAGTGAACAAATCGTGAAAAGAACAAAAAACAAAGAAACTGAACCGGATTTGTTTTTTATAGGTTAAATTTAGTCAAGTACCTAAATTCAAGTACATTTCTGTGGATATTTGTGTATTTTCTCTTTATGGCTCTTTTTTTGGGGTATTTTTTTGCATATTGTACTTTTTTACTACATTTATCTGACCGCTTCATTTTATTTTCAGATGTGTTTTCCTTCCTGTCTCGGGTAGAACCTTGTGTCTCTCGGTGTGGTGGAGGAGCGTCCACATCTCCTCTTCTGCTCTCCATGTGGAGGAGAGGATGTGGTGCGTCTGTGAGCGAGTGTGCACCTCTCTGTCTGTCCCTCATGTGTCTGCAGAAAACCTAATTTACTTCATCGATATAACAAAAACATCTTCAGAATTCCTTGCTCCTTTTAAAGATTATGATGATGTCTGACCTGTAAAATAAATGTAATAAATATCTTTTCAGAGCGTTGAATTATAGCTTCCACTCATATCTGACTCTAAGGTCTTAACAGGATTCAAGCAGAGTTAGTTTGAATTCTCTGAAAAGCA